GCTCTGCGCCCAAAGGAACCAAAGCCAGCATATTGAAGAAAACATGTAGCAGTGAACCGTGGAAAACGATCGACGTATATATCCTGTACACTAAAACAATACAAACAAAGTTATTCCAATCAGTTTAATGTAACAATTAAAGCAATCTTGCAATTCATGAAGACCGACCAAAAATATCGATCATATCTACTCAAGCTCAACTATGATGTGCTGGTGAAATATTCTAAAAGATCGAGTTATTTAACCAATTGTTGTTGCATGGAAGTCTTAAGCAGACAAGTCAGACTCAGAGAATGACGCAAGACAGGACATGTTGGGCTTGGTCACAGAGTTATATCAGATATAATATTCTCCACTGCGCAGAAAGGCCATCTAAGAGTTATCCAATTGAAGATTGCATCTACTCAAAAAGATTTTCAAGAACAATTCTCGCTCAACCTCCATCTTTTTCTCTCTCCTTGACCTGTGACACTTACTTACAAGGGCAGTCAAAACCAATGAACTTACGAAGAGAACTATCCTACGGATCAACAGTGTCAGGAAGGATATGCTGCTGCAAGGGAATGTGGAAGGTGACATTGAGGAGAGGTAACACAATGGAAAGAAGGGACATTGGCATGGACATAAATCACACTCTTGCATTAACTACATGGGGATTGGATTGCCAGTTAAAACTTCTAAATGTAATAAATAATCCATTTCTCAGAACATAGTTCTACAAAAGCATACCTTGGAATCGTGATATAATTTCCGATGGTAAGAAACATATTTCATGAAAGGAGTCATATCCTGTCAGAAGGCATATCAAGTATATGGTCCCACATGTGATGACCACGGCAGAAGTAAGGAATGGAATCCCTTCCCACCATTGTCCCAACCGAGTAGGCAATCCAGCCTGTACAATGTGTAAAACAAACGTCTTAAAACAATAAATATATGCTTTGTGAAGCAACCAAAAATCTAGCATTCATATAAATTACTCTTAATGATTACCATTGCATGCACATGTCACATTTCAACAAGCAAACAATTATTGGCACCAACAAAGCGGAACAATCTCATCAGCAAATGGGATCTCAATTCTTAACACAATAATGCAATGCAAGGCCCAAGTAATATGAATTCTAAGCAACCAGGAAAAAGAGAGTTCCATAACAAGAAAACATCAGAAGCAGAAATCAGGGTAAAAAGAAGAACAAAGCATCTTATGCAGACCACCTAATAGAGGAAACTGAATCTTGGTGGACATAATCACACGCATCACCAGAGCCATTGCCATACAATCTTATCCACCAGCTGAAGCAACCACCTCATTCGAACAAGAACAAACTGCAAAAAGTATTTTACATCGAAATGCCTAAGTACGAGTTGACAGCTGGCTTGACCAGCTACTTATTGCGCTTCCTCATTACAATCGGCAAAAGAGCTAATAAAATCTAATTAAGTAGGAGAAATACATTGACAAGATTATCCAACTTTTAAAGGCACAAACCTAGCTAGCTTCGACCATTAATAATGCCCACGGTCGAGACCTATGCTCATCCGACCATAAGGAACTACTACAGACGAGGTTACGAATTTTGAAAACCACAGCTCTTTCTATACAGAACTCAAACGGTGTCGAAGAGCATAGTAATATAAACATGACACACATATTCTTAAGATCCAGGACATCGCTCAATGCGACATAGCCTCATCCATCGTCCATACGACAGCTCGATTCTACACGACTCCCCCTCAAATTAGAAACAGATTCCCCCGTGCCCGGAAGACCCGAATCGACAAAACAAAACCGGAAACTCCATCTTCAGCACCAAACCAAGCGAAAGATCTACCCATCTTCTCAATGCGAGGCGCGCCCCAAACCGATTCTCTCCGGATAACGAACAAAATCGGAACGCGGGAGCTCCCTTACGCACCGTCACTTTCGCGCCCCGGCGCTCTAAACATCACCCCCAGAGAACACAAACCCAAACCCTAAGAAGCTACTCCACACCCCCCCGTCCACTCTCGATCCACACACTCTTCTCAAATCTCTCGCGGGGTGGGGGGGGGGGGTGGGAAGCGAGCGGGGCGGCCGGCTGGCTCAGCCTCGGCAGCCGCCATTTCCGGGCGGCGGAGGGGGGGGGAACGAGGATCGGAGATCGGGATGGAAGAGAAGGGAGCGAAGGGAGGTGCGGATGGAGCTTCGGCTCACCTCGGTCACAATGTTGGATCGCATCTCTTCTCGGGGTTTCGCTCGCTCGCTGGCTGGGGCTCGGCGATTTCCGGGCGTCAGCAGCGTTTCAGCTCCGTGCGACGATCTCGACTCGACTGACTTGCGGGGTGCAACTCGGAACCGCCGTTCGGTAGTTTCGAGACTGGTGGTGTGGACCGTGGACTTGGAAATGTCAACAAAAACAAAGGAAAAATGACACAAATAGTTTATGAATTTTGGCTTAACATGTAATTTGATTCCTAAATTTTTAATTTATTCAATATAATTTCTAAACTTTAGCCTAATATTCAATGTGATTTCTGAACTTCTAATTTGTTCAATATGATCCCTGAACTTTTGATACATATTCAATTAGTCCCTAAATTATATGAAAATGTTAAACGTAGTCCTTCCATTGATTTAAGTTCAATTAGTCCTAAATTATATAAAAATGTTAAACGTAGTCCTTCCATTGATTTAAGTTCAAGGATTATATCGAACATTTTCATATAGCTCAGGGATTAAATTGAACATGTATTAAAAGTTTACGGATCATATTAAATACTAGGCTAAAGTTCATGAATTATATTGAATAAATTAAAAGTTTAGAGATTAAAATACACGTTAGATTAAATTTCATGGACTATTTATGTTATTTTTTCTTAATAGAATAAAGAAAAAAGAAAAAGAAGAAAGAGAAGCGAGGAAACAAACAAAAGGAATAGGACAGTAGACAAAGCCCAAGCGTGGGACACCCCTTCCCTTTCCTTTCCTTACGAGGTGATATTTCGTTTGTTTCCTGACAGGGATAACGACAAGAATGGTTCCGAAATTCTTGTTCAATGAGCGATGTTATTTATTTGATTTGATCATGAACTTTTAATTTGGCATGCAATGTTGTTATTGAACTTTCACTTTATTTAATGTGCTTGAGTTTTAGTCTATAAGCTCTATGAAAACAATTCAATGTTGTCTTTTTATCAGTTCAAGTTCGGAGATAATATTATATATTCTCATATAATTGAGGAATTAAATTAAACATGTATCGAGAGTTCAGGGATTATATTGAACAAATTAAAAGTTCATGAACAATGTTGCATATTGATCATATGTGTCATTTTCCTTTCATAGTAATAATAAGATAATCTAGATTGTTAGGGCATTACACAAACGTGATAACTAATTGACGATGTTATCTAGGTTTCTTGAAAAAAAAAAAACCCACCAAAAAAACCTTTTCCACCTTTAATAATAATAAGAACCGAAATAAAAATAGAGATTTTAGATTCCGTTTGTTTCGCAAAGAATATAATATATTTTAAAAAATATTTTCCAAAACCATTATTTCCAACGAGGCCAGAGGCCGGAGCACAGACATTGGGCTGGAAATCGACTGCATCAGTCACATCTGCAAAGCTTAGTCCAAGAGATAACATCTGCAAAGCTTAGTCCAAGAGATTATTACCCCTGCTTCTTCCACAAATGATAGTACAATGAAAGAACGAGGAGAAAGACACTAAAAGTGTCAAAATTTATGTACGGTACTCACTTTAGTGCCGAAAGTTTCCACCGGAATACTTAAGTACTAAATCGAAGAAAAAACGATCAATTAAGTAACAACGGCGAGATATTCCAACCAAATTGATTGCGTGATTTTTTTAATTAAAAAAATGTGATGTGGAATATTTTTTAAAAACCAAGTCCACATATAGTACAAAGACTATGTGGAATTTCCGGCCTACAGGGCTCATTGAAAGGAATTGACGTCACTCAGCCTCTGGCCAAAACGACGTCGCACAAAGCGAACCAAAATTGGGGCTTCGAGTTCCTATTCCTGCACGACACTACAAACTCCTCCTTGCTTGCTCATCGTTGCTCACCCCGCTTGCCATCACTCACTAGCACCGTCGCTCACTCAAGTTTGTTATCTTTTCTCCCTTGCTCAATTGGCCGAAAAAATAAGGACTCCAAGGGTAAAATAAGGGCTTCGAAGGCAAAATTAGGGCTTGGAGGGAGGAGAAAAGCTTTCTTGGTGACGTCATGGGGACAACGGTGGTAGAGATTGCAAGATTGAGCTAGTAATTTTGGAGACAACAAAATAGGGAATGAATTTGGATTTAATGACTAGTTAGGATTTGAAATTGGGGGATCTCTTTTAATTTGGGAATTTAGGGTTCTTATTTGGGAAAATGCCAAGAAAAACCCCAAACTATGCCACTTATGATAAATTTACCCTGAATTTTTTTTTAACACGAAAAATCCCAAACTTTGCCGCTTGTGACATATTTACCCCATGGGCCAAAGTTTAGGGCAAATTTGTCACAAATGACATAATTTGAGATTTTTCGTATCGTGGGGTAAATGTGTCACAAGTGACATAATTTGAGATTTTTTGTGTTACGCAAAACAGTTTAGGGTAAATTTGTCACAAGTAGCATAATTTGAGATTTTTGGTGATATTTTCCCTTCTTATTTAGGGGAAAAGTACTGGACAACGTCGTTTTAGGGTTTAGATGCTAACTAGACTTTTCATCGAGTCACGTTAGCTTAAAAAACTTATGAAAATAGGCCACGTCGGATTTCCGACTAAACATGTCGAAGTTGACACTGAAATGAACGTTTTTCAAAAAATTTGGCACTTACGTAATCCGGATGAAACTTTCGGCACTAAAGTGAGCGCTCATCATAATTTTTGACACTTCTAGCATCCTTTTCCCGAAAGTATGTTAAGATTCCGTCGCTTTCATCTTCATGAAAACCTGCTAGTGACATTTCCAAGACAGGACAATTACTCTGGATAGGATTTACATATGTTTAGCTTTCCATTTTCAAATTTCAGGACCTTCCCATGTCAACAATTGCCGCCAAAGTATCCACTTTCTACCCACAGAAGAGCCATGCATGGTAGATCTCTATATAGAAATTAGGATACATTAACTTTAAGACCCTTAAAATCAGATGAAACTTCAATTATCAAAAGCTCTTCTGTATCTACACAAAATATCATCCTCTGATTTCTGGAGTTTCCAGGTTCCCTCCATGAGCAGACATATCTGGAGCTCGATTTAGAATTGCAATTGTCGTCTATACACATGGGATCATGGTCCCTCAGCTTCAATAAAGCACAGGCAACATCATTCGACCCTTCATCATCCATGCCGAAGTCATGTGCACTACATGTTTCTTCCACCACATCAATCTCCTCCACTGAAGGAGGTAAAGAATACAAGCTTGTCCTATAAACACAATAGGGATCGCAAGCATCTCGAAGATCCATCAAGAGAACATCGCCCAGCCTCATCAAAAAGGCAAATCCATGAAGATGAGGAACTTCAATGAGGTTATGCGCTAACGGCCCAGCTTCAACGTACTGAGAAATAAAATACAAGCCATGCTCTCTAATATTCCATCCGAATAGCAACAGCTCATTCAGGCTTGCCCCTCCTGAAGAACTGATAAAATCAGTTTGTCGTGGCGGCAAAGCACCAAAACAAATACAAAGCTAGAACAGGAAGTAAAATTCATCTAATAGCTGTGTAAACAACTAAATATATATGTGTACACAAATTTCCTAGTAGGACATAATACTCATAATTCATACCTGTTCAGAAGAATGGCTAATACAGTATCATGGTCCTTACTTGGTTGATTTGATAGAAAACACATGCTTCATATAGTTCCACATATATTGGGCTTCTGGAAGCTTCTTCCAGCAAATGTGTCTCCATTGTCAGGGGGATAAAAAATCCTCTGAAATTGCAGCACAAGGAAATTAATTGGGCAGTGAGAACATCGATAAGAATAAAGATGTCACTGACTGCATATTCCAGATAAATATACAGAGAAATTTATTTTTGCATCAAACCTGATCAATGGTATAGCTTCCAACAGAAACTGAAACAGAGAAGAGAGCAAATCGGTCCTCATATGCGCTAACAGCTACAAAACCACCTCTGGACGAAGAACAGCATAGAGGAGTAAGATCTTGAAATAATTCTCAATCGTAAAGGTTACTTAAGTTGACTTTGAAGCACATGTGTCGGTACACAAGGTCTAGAAGGAGAAAAGAGCTAGGACAAAGAGAGTGGATAGAGAACATGAAGCAGATGATGGCTATGGAGCTATTTCTTCAACAAAGTACCATGTCCAGGCCACACCTATTCCTAAACCATCAGTTCTGATCTCCTTGATAATTATTTTCTGTATGGATCCCATATTGTGAGGAGTAAGCATAGAACTCTTGACCGCTTTGTATATGAACACAACAAAGACATTCCGTTGTTTATCATAAATAGAGAATGACATTTAAAACCTATAGATGCCATTATCCCGAGCATGTAACCTGTTCCTTAAAGGTAGCTCCTGTATACCTCGTGGTGAATTTGGAGAGAATGCAACAAAAGACTTTAAAGGATCTAATACCCCAAATAACTTTGGTCTTTGTAGATTTGATTCTTGATATCATCCATATGGTAGTTTTGAAACTCCAGAGACTATTTTATCATGATCTGAAGTAGAAAAGTTATAGTTGTAGCCGGTGCAACTGCAAAGAACTTTAATGATCTTCATTTACTGATTGCAGAAACATCAAATCCTGACGACTCAGTCACTAATGTTCATATAACTAAGAATTGCTTAGTCATTTCCAAAATGCCAATCACATATTTTACTTCCAATTGTCCTACTTATTCCTCATACATATATACTCAGCTTCAACAGACACAAACTTATGCTTCAATAATTATTTTATGCAAAAAACTCAATTATTGCTAACTATGGAGTAATTTGCTCCAGAATAAGATGAAGAAGCCTATCAATTCTATGGACATGCAAGATATATATGACTCGAGCACAAACAAAGAAAAATCACATTTGCAAACTGGAATCACCAGATTTAATTGTGTTTTTTGAATCTCATAACTACACATGTAACTTACACTGAATCAACAGCTAACATTCTACCAAGCTGATTTCTTGAGTTTCCAGGATTGGACAGTCAATAAACAAATAGCCATCGTTCCCGGGTAAGACAACTTGTCACTCTCTCTTAATAAGGATAAAACAAGCCACAAAAGTGTACTACTCTTCCAGGCTCGAATTTGATACAGGAAGAGATAAAAAGGAAATGAAATAACCTGTTCATTTCTCCGCAAAATGTGAGAAATGAAAGCTTCCCGGAATCAGATATAACAACCAAAAGACCCTTCCCCTTCATCTTCATAAGATTACAAAAGAAATCACATTCAGAATGATGGACATGTGCATTGTAATTTGCCAAAGAAATTTCATTCATGACATTGCGAAAAAATTTCAGCCACGTAAGATAAGAAATGAGAAAATATCTCTAATAAGAAGGTTGTGTAAAAGTACATAAATTGATAGACCTGAATGTTATGTGCATCAAACTTCTCATTCCAGGGCAGGATTGTGAGATCCTTAATTGTACCAAACACAGACAGCTCGCAGATGGACTGCACAACCCCATCATCACCGATGAATGCCAGCTCTATCGATGTCTCCTGTTATACCATATCATTGGATCACATTTAAAGGAGACAATATCATTATGAGTAAATAACTGCCTTCATTTGAAATCGCAACATATGGGAAGATATCAGGCGAAACGGGAAATGTCACATTTGAGGCCGAAACCTAAATTCTCAAAATTTGATAGATTTTGTGACAGGTAATTTTAATAGAACCACAAGATAGTTTATCACAGCTTGTTTTGCAATTCTATCCTAAAAACCTGTAGGCTCTATGAAACTAAAGAGCTGCCTTTGCCTTTACCACCCACAACCAAGGAAGGACATCCCCTGCTTGATTAGGCTGGCACCAATTCTGAAAGTAATGTAAGTTCCTTATTTTCCTACCAATTCAATTTCATTCATAACTGTGAAAGGAATATTGAACACATGTCAAAAGTATGGAAGGCTGGTATGCAAATGACTGTCAAGAATTAACCCAGAGAATTTAAATGCAAAAGTAGGATTCCAGGGACAGATGCAATACATGGGAAAAAAAAAGAATATCAGAACATGTAGTCATATGGAAAACTCGAACTCCACAGATTTAAAACAATCTGCCTGCCAACTGACTTGCTTTCAGTGCTTCTTGTATAATTATCATGTGCAACTATACTTTACTGACAACATAATACATATAAGTCATATCATACTAGATATAAACTGCTTTTACAAAAGATAAGCACACGACCCATGTCAAGTAAAAATTTCCAAGGATTTCTTATAATAAACCGTCGGCAGCAGCAATGAGAAACGATGGATGGAGACCTCCTCTACACCTGCGGAGCAACTCCTTTTATTGTCTCAACAGTAAATCTTTCCTGAAAGACAGTCAGTTTATCACTGGACAACACACTGAATTAGTACACTGCAGTGCCTTGTTCAGTTCCACTTTGGACCTCTTCATGAACCAACCAAACAAATTGCAAGAGCAAGTAGCAAAAGAGAGTGACATTCAAGCAATCTCCAAATAAATACTACCTCCACATTGCGGACCCATATGGCTACAGTGTTGCCCTTTGAATTCTACAGAACAACTTAAATTATAGCCAAAGGCTTCAAAAAGGATAAATATCAAACAGAATTAAAACACAAATATAAGTCAAAATAACACCTATACTACATCATGCCACTCGCTAGAACCTCATTTTGTATCAACATAAGATTTCCCTCAAAATATCTCTCGGTACCTTATATCTAACGTATAAGGTATTCCTTATTTTGCAGGAGGTGCGCAAAAGCTATTATCCCAATGTCAAACAACCTATTCAGGCTTTTCTGTTCCAATATCACCATCTAAAATGGCATGCCTAGTCAGAACAACTTCTTTCACGAGATTCCTGTAAGTAAACGGCCGAACTGCTGATCGCAGAAATAGTTCTGGAGGAATCTTGCTCTTCCTAATTCTCTTCCTCCAAGGGCCGATACCAGCTATCTTCCATTCTTCTGGACTGACTTTTGTTCTTGCGCCTCTCATTGCGGTTTCATCTCCATCTTTCATTTCCTTCAATTGCTTCTTATAGAGTTCCGTTGTTACTTCAACGCTCCGCTTCACTAACTTTTCCATTCGTTCGGAGTTGTTCACTGCCTTATTAAATTCCTCTTGCCAATACTTCTCATCCTCTTCTTCGTTGGAGTTGTCTTCTTCTATACCCGATTCATCATCTCCACCATCTTCCAACTCCATCACTGTATCATCACGATCACCTTCCTCCTCCTCCTCCTCCTCATCGTCATCATCAGCGCTATCACCACTCCCATCATCCTCTATCCAATCTACAATCTCATTGTCACTTTTACTACCACTCCATTCATCTTCATCGTCAGGAGCATCACAACCCAATTCCATCTCCTCCAACTTAGCTTTCCACTCCTTTGTATATGGATGCAACAACTCAGCAGGATGATTTGTCAGCAAGAACTCCAAACACTCATTTTTCTTCTCGTCACTCGACTTCTCATAAGCCTTAACCACATCATCTACAAAGGCCTTGGGACTCGCCCTGAGAATCTTGCACAAGCCATTGAAATAAGTACACAGTTCGACCGTCCCATCGCCATTTTTCACCTCGAAAAGAAAGTCCCTCTCTGTCCTGGGATCAAGGAAAGGCATCAGCAACCGGAAGAAATCGTCCTGAGGCTCAAACCTACATTGATATACTGGTCTCTTAACATAGATTATATCGGGCCTCATCCATGCAGCACACCGGGTAATCAAGTTCCGAGCCGTATTCCCAAGCCTACCCATCAAGTTCCACTTATCCAATCTCTGTTTCCCGGCTTCCAACACTACCTCGGCCACCAAAGTCCACTGTTGCCATGGCGATTCCCTAAGCCTCCACTTCGGGTGTCTCACGAACACCCAAAAGTACCTAAACCCCACACTCTTATCCATTTCCTTCATCCTCTTGCCAAAATCCGCCGCCATGTCAAACTGCTCAATCTTCTCCCACTCCTCGTGATCTCGGACCTCGCTAATGATGGTCACGCGCTCGTCCGAAAACCTCCCTCGTATCGGGTCACCCACCACGACCCCTCTCCAGGAATACGGCCCGAATTCGCCGTACTTGTACCAATCGTGCGGGTGCCGCAGACTGGGGTCGTCCTTCTCCATGAACCTGACCATCCTATCATATCCCTGGCCGATCACTTGCAGCTCTTCCTCGGAGAAGTTGTCGGCGTGGTTCTTGCTGGGCTTCTTGAGGCGGTAGAAGACGGACTCGGCGAGCTTCCGGCTCCTCCACCGGGCGTTCCGCTTCGCCTCCCGCCGCATATCGGCGCCGCCCTCGATGCGGCCTGGCGACGGGCCTCCGCCCTTCTTCTTGCTCCTGCCCGCGAACGCCCGGGCATCGCGGCGGCGGGGCGACTGGGGCGAGCAGAGGCCGAGGCAGAGGGATCTCTGTGACCGGGGCTCTGGTTTGAGGAACAGGGTCTTCTTGGAGATGGGGCTGGAGCATGGGAGGCGAAGGGGAGGAGGGAACAGGGGGTTCAGGGTTCTAGAGAAGGAGAGGCAGAGCAGGTCTTGGTTCAGCATTTGGAGCAGAGTGATGTTTGCTTTGGCTAGGAGGGGACGACAAAACAGAGAGTCCTTTATGAGAGTCGTTTGCGGCCTTTGCCGCCTTAGGATGACAGAAGAAGAGCTTCTCTCAACCATTTTCTTAAATAGGGTTAATATCACGAAAAATTCTAAACTGACACATTTTAGATTAAAAATCTCAAATTGATATATTTATTATTATATATTTACTAGAGAACGTACGGTTCACGCACATGTTTTGAAACCGTTTCTCTAGTAAGTACGTAGTAACATGGTTAGGGCATTGCAGACATAGTCGATATTAAAGTAGCGTTTCAAAATATGTGTGCGTCAACTATACGGTTCTCCTTAATATTTCCTCTAATATCAACCATGGTCTTTCCGCCATGTTCGGCCCGGGCTTCGCCGGGCCTGCCTATGAGGGTTGCGGTTAATTTAAGTTGTTCTTGCTGATTACATCGAGTTGTGGAACTCGTACTTTCGAGTGAGATTTCGTGAATTCTCCTCTCGCATTGGCTGAGATCGCGCTGGTTTTGATTAATTAAAGCCCTGGTTATCTCAATGTCTAGCGATTGGTAGGATGAAAAACAACCTCTTTTTGCTTGATCAAGTTGAAAAAGGGTGTGTATGGATCTGAAGTTGCCAATTGTTGGTTGTTCTATTCCGAGCAATTCGGGTTCGGAATTCTTCCGAAGTTTTCCATTTTGACATTTTGCATCGCATCCCTGTCCCTTGTTCTATCTAGATGTTAAAATCATAGTTCAAATGGTTGCAGAACTGGAACTGCATTGTATGATAATTTACACAACGTATTTTCTGGATATGCTGAATAGAGTTTACCGATCTTTTTCCTCTTTTCTAACAACGAGCTCTATTTATTTCTGGAACGAGCCGGAGCTGGAAAGGCGTATAGCATCGCGGGTGATCGGTCTGTCACCCGAATAGTGTTAGTAGATGGGTATTGATATCTACCAGTTCAGTAACAATGTTAATGAATCAGGGACCGAGCATCGTCAATTGTGACGATGCCGAGAAAGGGTCTCCTTGCAAGAGCGGTTGATGGGATTTTCAGAGAAATCACTTCAGCTAATTCTATCAAGTATACAATCAAATTGTCCACGGTGCGGCTACATGAGTTGCTACCCGGTGCTTCACTTAATTATTGATGCAATGCTCTAATTTTAACGTTTTCCAGGTTTTTCGGGTAGAGATCTACATGGAGCAAGTAAGGTATAGATTGCCATGACTGCATTATATGCCATTCATGTTGAGAAAATGACTTCTTCCTTGTTTTTTATTGATTGCAAGCTGTATGTCATGCTTTCGAATCTCATCCAAGAATCCCAGGAAGTTATATAAATAAAACCTCATGGACATTATTAATTTTCTTCTTCCAGGGACATTTTGGATCTTTCAAAGGACAACATACAGATTAAAGAGACCATATCACAAGGAATATCGTTACCTGAAGTTACAGAGGTGATGTTATTCACCGGCTCACGCGACTGCTTTCGATCCACTGATAAGCAGAGAGTATATAGTTAGGCTGTATAAGTTGAAGGCACCGATTTATCAATCAAGGAAGAAGAATCTGGAGATTCTAGAGATATCAATCAAAATCACGGTCCTGAGTTCAATCTTTCCAGATTCTTCTTCCTTGATTGATAAATCAGTGCCTTTATAAGTGACCATTTTTTTATGTGCAGTGGCCCTGAAGGAGCATGCATCTTCAGATGCTTACCTGCATCACACACATTCACAAAATTTCTCCAGAAAAAAACGATTTTATTTTGCCCATTGGACTCACACGGTGTTCCAACAATACCACTAGCGGAACAACTAGAAATTCGTTTGCTGCTGGACTAACATAAATTACCTATCGTTTGTAGTATGAACAAAACTGGATAGCTTATTAAGTTAAAACCGCCTATACTTACATATCGTCTTATGCTTTCTTTCTGTGAGACCACCTTGATGTTTTTCACCTTCCCTCCAGATATCTCTGTCAGACACTGCTGAAGCATTACGAAGCTTTATCTGTAAGATACAAGCTCCTTTTCATTTGACTGTGTTCCAATATTCCCTGTGAGTTGATCTTCTAGTTCTATCCTCTGAACCCCAGAGTGGTATATGCAACAGAGCAGTTGGAGAGACTCGCATCCTTTCTCCTTTCCTTTTTGGCTTGTATTTGTTCTTCATCTTGCATAGCCAGATCAGAGCTTTCTTTTATAATATCTGCCACCTTCCCTAATTATGCATACAGTTTCAAACTTTAAGCTGAAACAGAAATGAATGTGGGCAGCTGCAGAAGCCATTGTATTTATATTTCTCGGTGCACCAAGAATCAACCAAACAGACTAGGTATGGTTGGTCTCTCATGCGATTGCGATTTCTTGGTAATGTTTTCCTTTCTTGTATAAAATTTCATGTCTTGAGTGTGGCCAGAACATATGGAAAACTAATTCTCTGGGAACTGGCTGGCTCTGAGAAAGTTGAGAAAACAGGAGCAGAGGGCAGGGTTCTTGAAGAAGCTAAAACTATCAATGAGTCCCTGTCAGCACTTGGAAATGTAGCACATGCCTCAACACGTGGTCCAAACGGAAAAGGAACTCACATTCTGTATCGCAACTCCAAACTTACTCGGATTTTGCAAGATTCTCTTGTGAGACTGCCCAACATTAGCCCTTCCATTATCCTGCTAGCATGTATTCAAAACATAAACAGTGAGTTCGTCTCACAGGGAGGGAACTCTTAAATGGCATTACTATATTGTTGTTCACCCAGCCCTTCAAATGTGTCAGAAACGCTGTCAACCCTCAGGTTTGGTGCCAGGATGGAAGTTAGAAGTCAAACTCATATAGGGCAGGGTATGTTTTTATTCTGATGGCAATGTTCATTAGGAATACAATGAGAAAAAAGAAATTGAATCAGGAAGTTCTAGCTTTCTCTGACACATTTATCTGAGTTCCGAGGTGTATCTACCAGAAGCAATCTATCCATGAAGTGATAAGTTTCTTTTTCATTCAACTAGTTGAAACAGATGCATAAATGCAATATCTACAAGTTATAAAATTTACGCCATGAGTATTAAGTTCTGATTCTTCATTTACGTATCCTGTCTCAGAAGATGTGTGCTGTGCGGGTGTGTGGATGCCGTGTGTGCTTTCTTATTCGCATTTCTCTACCATTTCTTCAGGGCAAAGCATATAAAAGCATCATCGCATGTCCACTGTACCAGAGATAAACATGCAAAGACACTCAGAACATCCTCGCCATTCGAAGAAGAATCACGTAACAAATTTATGGAAAAGGTTAAGGTCTACAAGACTTCTCATAAAAATCAATTGATTAATCTATTTCGCCCTCTCGCATTCGACATTTGAAGTCAAGGGAGAGCATGGATGCTGAAGAAGTCAAGTTGCTTCAGCATTTGTTCACATGGGAGGGAAGGGCTCTTGATCTAAATTTTCTTGAGAACTGAAAATTTGACTGCGGGTTGGTTGCTGCACCAACTGATATTCCATTCCACCAAAGCCGTGGAGGAGCTTGCCTCAGTCGTCGAGCTGGTTAGTCAAAACTCTACGTTGCACTTATCAGCATATTTTACACGTTTTCTTTGGCAATGTGATGATTTTCCGTCATTTTACAGTGATAGAAAGTATGATGAGGTGACTGAATGACTGGTAGTTGCTTAGAGCGATACTTCTTAACACTCTTTAGCGGTTGCTGACAGCGATACTTCCTGCTCTTCTGACAGCTTAAAGATCAGAACGAAGTTCTCGCGGCGATGCTAGTAGTTACAAGAAGGACGATTTCATCTCAAGCTGTGAGGCAAGAGGAAATCTCCGCTTTATGCGCTGCGTTGGAATCTCTAAAACCCTGCATCGCTTGGGTTGCGCCATTGCCACAGTTCAAGCTGTTGATAGACAGCTATGTCCTTATTCCAGGCTGCTGGTTTACAAAGTAAAAGGTTTCATACATGAACTACATTAGGACCTCAATTTTTGAAAGTGATCCCTTTAAATTCTCTCCACTACTTGTTTTGATGCGATTGCGTGAATGTATATTGTAACCGAATTGTTAGCTCTTCACATCCACCATGGGATGGTAGAAGAAAAATAAGAGAAGCGCATCAGGCGTTAGTCTCATGTGGTCGTGCCACGTGGCTTGATTAAGCGCGAGCTTGGCGTATTATTAAAGGAGTACCAGGAGTATTATGAATTGGTAAATGTAAATGATATCGATCCCAAGGGTTTAAGTGGCATTTCGAATTGATGGAAGATAAATTGTAATGAGAATCGAGTGATCAACAATTAGATTTGTTGTGTCTGAGTTTTAATAAACGGCTGATCAAAAGTAGATTTTTTCTGGAAAAGTTAAAAGAGTAAAAGCCGTGATGGCTACATGCAAAATCCACATAATTATCTCCATTAATCAAAAGTAATTACTAATGGCATGCAACATAAGTTGGTAAGGAAGATTAATGCATATGTGTAACATAAATATGTGACAAAGGGCATGAACATTTGAAAGAAAATTTTAAATGAAAACACCGTTCAAAATAAAGAGGGAACATCACAAGAAGATTTGTTAACATCCTTTAAGTAAAACGAGCGAGTACTTTCGAACTTCATACATCATACAGATATATTAGTTAACTGTGCAGACTTATCTTTACCATTTACATTTTGCTTTTCGTTTAACAAGAAACGCTTGGAATCATTCAAAATGTCTGGATATTGGTTTTTAGATTTGTGCATAAATTCAATCATTACAGTACAATTTTTGAAATTTAAAGTCAAAGAAAAGTTAGAAGTTCCATGCAAAGGAAACTGAACAGAGATGGAGTAACAAAACGCAGTGCATAATCATATGACTAAATCACTCGCAAAAACTTAAACAAAGGAAACATTCTTTAACTCGCAATTTTGGACTGCAAATGTTACCCGTATGCGTAGCAAATACAATCAATACTTCTCAATCTCCAAGGTGAATCCTCCCAAGGTTACCTAGCTGATTTGCACAGTTTCATTCTTTTGCTGCGAAAGACGAACTCGGTCCGGCGACTTCATGAGAGCGATTAGCCATTGCACAAAAGAATCACAACAAACAGTATCATACACTAGGCTCTACAGGAACGGTGCAAAACACTATTGGGTGTACCATCCAGAGAAAAATCGGACCTCTCGAATCGGTAATGCCTCTTCTGTACAAAAAAAGAAATATTGCATTTTCATGTGCAAGACTAAGCACTTTCGTTCAAGAGGCTGCTGCCAGATACATCACCATTCAGCTTCTGTAAATTCATTCGGCAAGGTAATGTAGCCAGAAAGAAAATAGCAAGGGTCTTTGTCATCAAATATGCAGCACACATGTACAAACCATTGCACATGTACAAACCATTGCACTTCTAAGGCTCTTGTGAAACGAATGAACCGTGAATTTTACCTGTCTGCGCAAATTTGGTGGCCCAAGCATCCTCCTGGTTAGAGAATTGGGGTTTACAGAGCTTCAATGTAGCAAAATTCTCCACTCTCAGGTAGTAGTGATATATGGTCTTTGATCTGAGTTTGTAACTCCCCATGCTATGCTCGGGCATCTCAGATGGCACTTCATTGCTTAAAGCAAACTGTACTGCCATAAACACGGTGCCATCGGCATATTCTGCAACTTGATAGAATCCTTCCATGGATAAAGCATGCAGCGAATACGTATCCACAGCTCGACATAAGGAAACTTGCAATGGCGGACTAATTTAAGGCATAATGAACCCGTTCAAGGAGCTGCACGACCTGGTTGACCGGAATAGGAGAAAATGGTCCTGAACTCAATTTGACCTCTGGAGCACAAAGAGGTAGCGAAAGTACTGCCTCCTGTTGCATGCTTGTAAGCTCCAAAAATTGAGAGAGCAGGTCACCATCTAGAATCTTAGGTACCCCGACCTTCAACAAAAGAATTAGGAGCAACCTTGAGAACAGAGGTAAGAAGGACGGAACGAATGCAGATAATATCGTTGTGCCAAGGCTCTTCTTTCAGTCACAAAAACTTTCTAAATCCAATAACTCTCTTGGAGACAAGGAGCGGCATAGAGTTTACAGCACAGCAATAAACACGGAGTTGAAAATTATGAAGAAACCAGATTTATAGCAAGAGCATAGAGTATCATTTCACACGTTCTATCATATTGTTTTTCACTTATTACTGAATTTTCCAACTGTTTGTGATATCTTTACATTGCACTAAAGCAAGGTTACCAAAGCGGAGTTCGCTTGCCATGTGTCATATAACTCTTCTGCACCTCTCCATTGAGGGAGTTAGTGTGTACAACAAGTAGTAGCTGGACCAATTCACCAATCCATGCATGATTCAAGTCATCTTCTGACAACAGAAACTCTTCCATATTTCTTTATCATGCTTCGTGTTTCCCCAATTTTCTCTTAAGGATATGTTAGACACAGCTATTCTCTTCGTTTTACTCACATGGCATATAAACCCCTCCATCGGTAAATAGCACCATCAGCCCAAAGTGCACTTATATCTTCCCTTTCTCCAATAATGTTAGGCTATTAGACAACGAGATAGATGGAAGTTGTTCTGGTTCAAGTTACCAAGGTAGTCTGGATGCCTTATGAAGATTTTAGAATAGTAGAAGGATATCATTTCCAACAATAAGGGTTTCTGCCTCAAGCAAAGGTAGGTCCTTCACAGGTTCACAAAATTGTACGCCTCACTGGCGGCACAGGCCCCCAAGCCGCAAACACCAAGAAGCTATCTGAAAACTGATACTAGCTTTAAACAGAAGATATTTTTCATTCAGATAGGTGTCATTAGTAACTATGTATGCCTGCTCTTACACAACAGAGAGCACTTGTGAATAAAATGATCAATTAGCAGGACTAAGTTACTAATTCGAAGTAGGACAAAAATGAAACTGTGAAATCACATGTGCTTGAAAACCTGAAACAAAATTTTTACTCCACAGAGGGCTCCACTAATGCGAGGTAAAATTGGCATCATGATGATGCACACACATCTGTCCAGCAAGGCAGAAGTTATGTATTTAATTGCCACGACATTCGAAAAGGACAAATATGTCATTCACCCTCAAGTACAAAAAAGGAGATAATAACAAAAGTGGTAATTGCATAGTTCCAAGTAAAATTGCCTATCTGCACTACAGAAATCACAACAAGGGAGTTCATCAGTCCTTACCAGGTTTTCACGACTACGGAACTCATTATGATCATTTCCTAAAACTGGGGCAGTCAATGGATGAACAGCAAGTTTAGCCTGGACTGCTTCTAGGAGTTCATACTCTTCCCTGCAGGCATGGCAATTTTAAGCATTACAATAGGTCAATATAATAGTCAATAACAAGAAGATATTCGCTTCATAAGCTGCTACAATTTTCACATTGAAAGAGCGTCGATAGTCTGAGCAAAAATTTGATTCAACTCCTACATTCAAGCAATTTCCCCACACAAGATGCAATCAAATGCCTCTATCAGAATGCCAACAATCAGAACATGCATTACATTCACAACAGCCTTACACGCCATTAAAGCAACATGCTGCATAAACATGAAAACAAAGCATGCTATGCTTGGTAACAATCTCTAACAAATTCGTCCAACGGATGTATGGTGTGACAAAGGAATCATATTAAAGAAGAAAGCAAAAAGAAATCTCCATATACATCTGAAACAAGAATTTACTTGTTGATGCCACGAGTCTTGGTGTAAATGCTTTCATTGACCTATTGGACTCCTTATCTTGTATATTGTTTTTGTACATGGGAAGGTATAACCTTGTTGCCTCTTAATGAAATACTCTTACTGATAAAAAATACAAAAGAACAAATAAATATGATAAAATAGATGATTAGTCAGATTTACAGCCATAGAAGAATTTCTAGAAATTTTGGTTTCCACCGATTTTCATGCCTAAACAAGAGCGCAATTATGCCAAGCATAATACGGACTGACCCATAGACAATGTCATGGTGCGTTGAACTTATCAGTATCAAACAGGTTTACAAGGTTGTCTTTTTCTTCATTTCATTCTCCAAATTCTTTAATTATCTGATTCTTCAATTAAGTGAACCGATAAATAAAAAGAGCTTGAATTTCATGAGGTTGGGATACGAGCAATATAAGACTTTTCTGGGCACCAGAACCTAGTGCCACCACTAGAGGCATTCTCTTTTGCGCAGTGCTTTACTTCTCACATCTACAAGATAAAATAAAACTACAGCCAAACGGGTCTCTCCTCTTTAGTCTTTCATTCTCTTTAACTTGTTTATCAAAAGCCATCCCCTAGCCATCCCCTCTTCAGAGAGAGCAAGCAAAGTCCCCCATAGCGCCTTAGCCAAAGAAGTCCAGAAGCAGTATTTAGCATGCCAATTGTCAGCACAGAACAATACTCGCCACAATTGAAACTTGGAAATTTCTTTTGCATGTATAAATAATAATGTCATAGCCACAACATGACAGCCGCATTGACATATCAGAAATGATCTGTTCATGACTACTAAAAGAGGCATCCCAAAACCTATAGAAGACCTCTGCTGTCTTAATTTAATTGTGGTGCTGTAATACTTAAAACCTCAGATCTTCAACCTCGACAAATTCTCCTGATACAATTCCCCAGCAAAAGCCTCTTCACTAGCACATATTATGGAGAAATTTGACAATGACAAAGCAGGTTGTTCCCAATTAATATATGGTAAAAGTAACTTGGCTGAATATCGGTTCCAGCAAATTATATACAGTATCGGAAGTCATCAAGATGTGAGGCATATCTTAAATTGACTGATTGTTGCTAAAGAGAAGACCTAAGGAAGGTGGTGCATCATTCAGAGTTCTCTCAGCTGTTGAAGATTCAGAATCAACTGAATTGGGCCTTCAGCATATCAGGAATTAAAGGAAAGCAGGGGGTTTTACACTAGAAGTTTCTCATGAGAACAATTTACGATGTAAGAGGATGTGAAATACCATGAAAAAGTTTTCTGTGCCACCAATTATGATTCAATAAAGTGCTAACCTCACAAAGAAAATCTCAGCCAGAAACTACTGTGCTAAGCCACCAACTACAAAGAAATTCATATGTAGATACAGCGCCTTATGGGGCAACCTAATTCTACTGTTAAAATACCCAAAACGATCATTCTCAAGTGAAAAACTCAATATGCCTACCACCAAACATATCATGAATCAATCATGACAAGCCACTGTCAAAGATAGAAGACATAGAGAACTAATATCTATTAGGCCTTCTATCATCTAAATTCACTGATATAAGGTGATGATGTTGCAGTCTGTGAGTAGCCAAACATTAATCCTACTAGCTAAGGTATTCCCAAAGTGCATGATTTAAACAACACGTAAAGCTGCAATTGGTGGCTCTTGCCTTCATAAATTTATTAGAAGGCAAAGCACGAAAGTAATTTTCTCTTGGACTTAAAGAGTACACCCTCCAAGTCCTAAATAAGTTTCCAAGCCTTCCACAGGCAGAGAGGATGTGGAAAGCTAGGACTTAAAGGAGCAAAACCAAAATTAAAAGCATTGATTGCGTCAGGTCCAATCAGTATTGCAAATTTCGAGAAAATTAATGCTTCTGACACAAAATTCACTCCTTTCATATATCCCAAGAGCTTCCTACACTTATTTTACAAACTTCAGGGGAATCTCGGTTTGGCATCTTTCGGTAAATCATTGCCTTCACAATTTGGAAACAGAAGTCTTAAGTTGCTATTCTCTTCCCTACTTGGTCATCGTCAACCTTGCATGAAACAGATAAGGCACCCCAGAAAAATATTCCAAACAAATTGAAGACAAGCATCTGCTTGAATGTATGCTGCAGGTCTGCATACTAACTCACATCTTTGCCTATGCTAGATACATAAAGGAAGTAAATTCTGAAATAGCCATACCTTGATATTGGAATAAAGACTGTTATACTTCCTAGTAATGTGCTGACAATGATAATCTTGTGGGCCAAGTCAACATTCAAAATTGGGTTATCAGATGCCTTCAACACATCATCAGATGGGAATTTATAAGAGAAGGATCCCTGCAAATAAAATCTAATTCAGATCATCAGAGACGGTGGACAATAACATCCTAATACGAAATAGATCACCAGCAACAACTTAAGCCCAACCATAGAGCGCACCAAGCGATAAGATGAACAACACACGGCCAAAAAGAAAGCTCCCAAATGGAACAGACAATTAACCCATTAATTAATTAATATTATCAACAACAATCAAAAGTGAAAGAAATAATCTAACAAAATTAGCAACTCTAAAAGAGGAATTTTTAGTAAGTGAAAATTGAATTAGTCTCGTTCATTCAAATATTCAGTCATTTCTTGCCTAAGCTTAAGTCATACCTGATTTCACTTTCAAGGTTTGGATTGTATGCTTATGAAATCTTAATAAAATAATTTTGAGCTCTCAACTGCATTGAACATCATGCTCCAATCTTATCAATGTTAGAATGGTTCTACTTTCAAGTTTTATATTCGATAAGGATGTCATAAATAAGTATCCAAACCTTCCACAAGCAGAAGTAAATGCTTAGGTCCTACACTAGCAATTCACCCAATTTTATTAAGGTCTCAAGCTTCACTCCTCGCTCAGTGTGTATAGACAACTGAACAAATTGAAAGCTTGTAAACTTTCTGCACAACAGCTACATGCCAACAACAACAATTACCTTCTTGACGCTCATCCCAATCTCTCCCATATAATAGGCACAACTCAATGTCAAGTTGCTCTCTGGACTTGCATTATCTGATAAGGAGAATAAATTGAGAGAAATCAAGAGAGGAAAACACACTAGGTCAAGGACATAAAAGGATCAACAGCAGAGACAAAGCAACAACTATTCTTCAAACAACAATAACCAAACGAAAATTCTATAAACACTCATTCAATTTAGTGGAGCTGGCTATATATCTCCTATCAAGGCCAAACATTCACCCTCTTCGACAAACACCATACTATCTCGAAGAACCCTTTTCATTAATGGGATAATGACACAAATAGTCCCTGAACTTTGGCCAAATGTGCAATGTGGTCCCTGAACTTTTAATTTGTTTAATGCGGTCCCTAAACTTTAGCCCAGCATGCAATGTCGTCCTTAAACTTTTAACGGCGGTAGCAAATTCTTAAGTGATATATTGTTTTATAGTAACGTTGGTAAAAATTATAAAACTGTGGCTCCATAAGAATCATAAGTAACTTCTCTAACCTGTCCAGATGCTCCATTCAAGTAACAAGATACTTCTATCTTCATTAGCCTTCTAATGATATTAATTGCAGATGCTCAGATCACAAAGACAGTAGCTATACAGATACAGTGCATATGACAAAGTAACTAAGTTTCGCATCAGTTAGCATCCAGAGTTATATCACGATGTGCAGTGGTTGACCAATTAATAACCTTCTGTACGATCAGGAGATGATAAGACAGCAATACTCCCTTTCCTGTCTGAAACAACAGCTGTGTCGACATCCACAAGAGTACAATCAGCAACTAATCTTTGGGATGGATCAGAGTAATCTTGCTCTAGTTTTCTGCCATCCTGGCATCAAAAGAAGTTCCCCAATGAACATTCATGAACCAAAGAATAATCAGGAAAAATATAGTTTCCAGGACTAAGGAAATGCTACCGACCTCATGATAAGAGTAGAAAAGAATACCATCACGGCAATCACCAACAGCAATTCTGGTAAAATGCGACGTCAAAGACGTAATCATAAAACGAGTCCTTCCCATAGCAAACCTTTTCACCTTTTGTGGATTGTCATTTATAAAACCACATACATAAAACTGGAAAAAAAGACGCCAACAATATGATCAGTAGAGCCCAAAAATATTCTGTCCTTTCATGGACTAAAAAAGCAAAAGATATGGTCATGAAGTTTACAGTATTGCCAGCTGATGCCAAAAACAGATGATCCAGATAAGGACAAACAGCAAGCACCATTCCTGTCCATATAGTTGAATAAGCCAATCGTAACTGCCATACTTCACTTTCTTCAAGTTTGATTCCCTCACAATTAATATCATCTTCACTGCTGCAAAAACTACTACTCGATAGATGCTCGGTCGCATATCCAACACTCTCACGAAATGGTGAACTACGTTGAGAAAATGAACCCGTCTTTCTGAAGAATGCTGTTGGACCACCGTACGAATTCTGCGTTTGCTCAAGGCAGAGCACAATCAGACGGCCTTTGGTACTGTCAAAAACCATCCAGTTAGCATAAACATCTTCAGAGTAAAAAGAGAAGGATGTGTCAACAGTGCCACAAGTAGATCTTTGAGATTCTAAAATTACAGGTACTGAATGAACTGGCAATAGAGATAAATTCAAGAGTGAAACAAAATCAAATTCAAAATGACACAGCATCTTTATTTCACGAGAGACAAAATCTAATTAAAATTTAATACTACGAGATATAGTAGGACATCGGCCAGAAGTGTACCTCTCAGCTTCACCACTGGGCATTATAGCAGGACCAGAAGATAGACTGGTCCCAATCACAACTACCTGTTCCCTCCCAACCCTCACTAACTCCATGCATTTTCCAGTTTCTTCTGGTTCAAGTTTAAAAGTTGACAACACTGAGCCACTGTAAGGATCCACGCAACATATGTCTGACGTGCATGTAACAGAACTTAATTCAGTCCTCATCACAAGTAGTAGCCTGCTATCGCTATGATACAAGACCTTTCGTGGAGTACCGTCAATCTGAAACTTTTGTACATTAAGCCTCTTGCTACGCACCATTTCCACCTTGCAAAATATGGAACATTAGGGTGATATCCTTAATAAATGTATGTTACTGAATCAACAGCAGTCCTCTTTAATAGAAAGTGAGTTTGGATCGAAACAGTGAGGCTTTAGAAATGAATGCAATAAGTATGACATGAAGCATCACCAACTCTGAAGTCCACGATCACTACCATCCTTAAGGGAAGGGAAGGTATAGAACAGCATGAGGATGATGCATCATCAGCACTGCCCACAAATAGCTTGCTAACAACACCTATGCAGCCTTGGAATAAAAGAAAGAAATAAATAAAAATTGAAATAAAGATATTCCGAGTGAACAGTTCTGCGTCATAGTTTTTCACTATTCTGTGAAATTGCCTCAGTAAAAGCATCTTCAAATCACAATATCCCAGGCATTGGATAGCACTTTTGACCTGAAAATTAAGCATCAAGTTCACACCAGTTTTTCTCATATACACTTCCATCTAAAGTCATCTTTTCATGAACAACTAAACTATCCTGAAAGTATTCTTATCTTGGTACACCCCTTTAGTAATCAATGACAATACCAACAAAGCACTTGGTTAGACAATTAAGTATGCCTTAATTGTTTATAAACTCCGACAACGTCAAAAAAATTTGCGTAGATTTCATAGTGAGAAATTATAGATCATCAGCGTCAGAGTGCATGCATCCTCATTTAAGTAATTTCAATGTGAGCTCTCTGGGCAACTAAAAGAGCACACCTTATTTTTTCATAGCATCATGTGCTTCAGGCAAGTATTGATAAAAGGTTCCACTCTACTTGGCAACATTGGGCACAACTACCGAAGGAAGTTAATGAAAGTGCGATCTCAAGTCAAAAATGGCAATCTGCATATGCTGATGCAGAGAATCTGCATCATTCGGTAAAATTGCAAAGAAAAAGCATCATGTTTTTCTCTTTCAGAGCTACCATAGTCTATTTGAAAGAACTAGAGGGTCATCTACAGCTATCTCGCCAACCACAAAATCTAGATAAACCAGACCATTCATCTATCGCAATTATAAACTATCATTCTTGTCAAGATTGGCGAAATCTTCATTTAAGAGTAGGAAAAAGTTTTTGGGCAGTTCTGTTAATCATCAAATAGATTACATTACCGTACTTTGCGGCATCAAGAGGGTTGCTTCCCATAATATTAACTGGTTTACAAGATAACTACTGACTCCAGGAAATTGATCACATAAACACTCAAGAATGCTTGAGCCGCAACGATTGGCAATGAACTCATGGCCCACTAGAATAGTGGTTTGCATGCTTGCATATATCTTATACTCTTTTAGACTGGAATTGTCAAATGGGTTGCTCACCTGGTTGGGTCTTATTTTGCTGATCCCAGAAAAGGGATTTGCTGTGATGTATGGAAGGAGTTTTGTCTCAAAAATATATTAATTAAACTACAAGCTTCTTTGAGCTCTCACCATATCACAATTTACACTTAACAGTGCGCTTTGCCTTTCAAGTTCCTAATCTTTATTATTCATGTGTGAAATAGCCAAAAATATTAGTGAACTGCCCATACAAAGTTCACTAAATTCCTGAACTAAAAGAAGGTTGAGTTTGGCTACTTCATTCAATCATATAGAAATTGCAATCCAAAAAAATTAGCGATCCATAGAAAAAAGTACTTTCAGCCTTTTGAGCGAAAAACTTCACTTGACAGACAAAAGGCAGCAATCAAATAACATATTCATAAGCTGATTAATCAAGGAAGTGAACCTATGTTAAAAGCTAGTTATCCTTGGAAGACCATTTAAGGGTGGCAGACAGCTTAAAGTGCTATTGTCTTTTACCTAAGAAGCAGCAATGTATAACATTCTTATAGCTCATGAAGTCGAGATAAAAAGACTTCTAATCGCAAGTGGATCTTTTTCCATGTCGAAAAAATGCTGAATATCATTAGCTGCTACCCTGCTAAACAGCAATGATAGCTCTTTTCTCGATAGCAGGGAAACAGCTGGAAGGAACACCACGGACGTACAAGCAAGATTATTTAGGATGTGGATCGCTCTGGCACGTGGAACAGAAACGCAGAATGTGGAACGTCCTTCACTCAGATCGTGTACTTGAACTAAGACGCGAATATTCAGTTCTTTTTCGGACTATATCAACAGCATTATGTTTGATGCACAGTTAAAAGACTCCATTGTATACTAAAGTTAGACATTTGTAGCTAAAATACATGCCTAAGATTAGGATTATAATAATCAAAACAGATCATAAATAAGAAAGATACTTAATATACAGTTCAGGAAGGATTATTTAGTAGTCAAAATCGCTAGTACAGCACAAAAGGAACGGTGCTTCCATTGGGGCTTGATTGTGAAATGTAAATTATGTTATCCAGCAACTCTGCCTAGAACCCAACAATTGTTTGTTTGGAAATGTAGAATACAGAACTCTGATCCGTATTTTCATTCAGGGAGGAATGGAGGGCTTTCCAAGCGTATTAAACTTTTTTTATTCTTTACACCAATTGTTTTGGGAGTGGACGTGATGCAATAAACGTGCAATCAATATAGATTTTCTAAATCTTTTGAATGGGCATTTAGATGTATTTTCTTATCAATCTAGTTCAAATAAATCACTGATACGAGAGGACAGTTCCCAATGCTTTTGTAAGTACAAATTTCTCCTTAGCCCAAAAAAAATAAAATTAGAACTTGAAAAAAGAAGTAATAACAAATCAGGACTGCAGATAATTAGAGGTCATGGCTGACGTAGAGGATACTTGCGCTGCTGAACCGCTAGAATGACACTAAAGAGCTTCAAACGCAATGAAAATAAAGAGCAATCTAACAAGATAAAGCCACCAGAACAACAGGAACAAGATCAATACTCACCAAATGTAGACTGTTTTCGGCAACAAATAGAACTCCCTTGGTGCACTCAGCCGAACAAACTGGAGTTACATGAGTTGAAGGTTGAAAGGAAATCGACGTAAAAGATAGGCTATGCCTTGCTGTTTGCAACAACCACGGTCTATCACTGAGAGCAATCATGTCCGAATACAAAGAATCACTCAAGGGCACCAGAAAAACAGGAGTTATGCCGATTCGACGAGTGGCTATTAATTGAAGATCAATAGGAAAGCAATCTCCAAATTTCCCAGATGAAGCACCAGTCGACATTCCTTGGCTGAAATAATTTGCCTTTGTCTCTGAAATTGCTGCACGCGGATTTCCACAATAAGTACTAGAAGAGTTCTGACATAGTAACTCTGAAGAATTCATCCATGAGGCTGTAGGCCACTCAAAACGGAGGAGCATTCCATTCCTCAAACCAGAAAGAACATATAACTTGTCGACTAATACAAGCCTTACGTCCTGGGGGATACAACCGCTGACTACAGTGCCCATGATACTTGTTAACGATATGGTCCCTGATGCAATCACTCGAAGGCCTTGATCAGGCATGATAGAAACAACTTCCACAGAAGGCCTATGCGTGCCAATAACAATGATATTACCAATATGAACACCTTGAAGAAGAGATTCAGCATGCTTAATATCTATTCCACTGACGTAGGAACGGGACTGCTCTTGATCAAAGTAATTCTGAGGTACAGAAATGCAGGAAATTTCACTTTGAAATCTCAGATGGTGCACTTCAAATAATTCATATTGATATGTGGAAAGGACTTTAATCCCCAGAACTATTAGAAGGCAAGGATTAGAAGTAGAAATCACAACAAAGTGATGTCCCACTGCACCCATACTAATACCAACATTACTAGGAGACCAAGTTGCGCATATTGGTGAGGATGAAGGAATACCTTCTGAGTGGGCAGCCTTGGTGGGCAAACAAAGCCTCACGGCACTCCGGTGTATCTGGATTAGCCAACCATCTCCTACAAGGCCAGAGGCCGAAGTACAGACATCAGGCTGGAAACCGACTGCATCAGTCACATCTGTAAAGCTTAGTCCAACGGATAGTACCCTTGTTTCCTCGACAAATGATAGCACAAGGAAAGAATGATAAGAGTCTGTCACTTTCATCTTCATCGTCCAAATACCAGTTATGCCTTGATAAATGGAAGCAGTTTTCAACAGCTTCTCAACATTGATGCCACTTCCAATAATTCTGAGTGATCCTTCGGGTGCCACTCCACAACAAACAAACATCTGATCTTGTTTTTCATCACGAAAATCTGCCGGTGACATATCCAAGATAGGACAATTACTTTGGATAGGATTTGTATATGTTAGCTTTCCATTTTCAAATTTCAGGATCTTCCCGTCTCCCATCTCAACAATTGCAGCCAAGTATCCACCTTCTACCCACAGAAGAGCCTTGCATGGTAGATCTCTATATAGACATTCAGGTAAATTAACTTTAAGTCCATTAAAATCAGATGAAACTTCAATTATGAAAAGTTCTCCTGTATCTACACAAAATATCATTCTCTGATTGCTGGAGTTTCCAGGTTCCCAACTCCAGGAGCAGACATATCTGGAGCTCGATTTAGCATTGCAATCGTCGTCATCTATACACATGGGGTCATGATCCCTCAGCTTCAATAAAGCACAGGCAGCATCGTTGGACCCTTCATCATCCATGCTGAAGTCATGTACACTACATGTTTCTTCCACCACATCAATCTCCTCCACTGAAGGAGGTAAAGAATTCAAACTTGTCCTATAAACACAACAGGGATTGCAAGCATCTCGAAGATCCATCAAGAGAACATCACCAAGCCTCATCAAAAAGGCATATCCATGAAGATGAGGAACTTCAATGAGACTATGCGCTAACGGTCCAGCTTCAACGTACTGAGAAATAAAATGCAAGTCGTGCTCTCTAATATTCCATCCGAATAGCAACAGCTCATTCAGACTTGCACCCCTCCTGAAGAACTGATAAAATCAGTTTGTCGTGGTGTTAAAGCACCAAAACAAATACAAAGCTAGAACAGGAAGTAAAATATATCTAACATCTGTGTAAACAATTAAATATATGTGTACACAAGTTTCCTAGTAAGGCATAATACTCATAATTCGTACCTATTCAGAAGAATGGCTAATACAGTATCATGCTCCTTACTTGGTTGATTTGATAGAAAACACATGCTCCATATAGTTCCACATATATTGGGCTTCTGGAAGCTTCTTCCAGCAAATGTGTCTCCATTATCAGGGGGATAAAAAATCCTCTGAAATTGCAGCACAAGGAAATTAATTGGGCACTGAGAACATCGATAAGAATAAAGATCTCACAGACTGCTTATTCCAGATACATATACAAAGAAATATAGTTTTACCTGATCAATAGTATAGCTTCCAACAGAAACTGAAACCGAGAAGAGAGCAAATCGGTCCTCATATGCACTAACAGCTACAAAACCACCTCTGGACGAAGAAAAGCATAGAGGAGGAGTAAGATCTTGAAATAATTCTCAATCATAAAGGTTACTTAAGTTGACTTTCAGGCACATGTGTCGGTACACGAGCTAGGACAAAAGGAGTGGATAGTGAACATGAAGGAGATAATGACTATGGAGGTATTTCTTCAACATAGTGCCATGTCCAGGCCACACCTATATCTAAACCATCAGTTCTGATCTCCTTGACACTCATTTGCTGTATGGATTCCATATTGTGAGGAGTAGCATAGAACTCTCCACGCTTTGCATAAAACCACAACAAAGACATTCCCTTGTTAATCATAGATAGAGAATGACATTCAAAACCTATAGATGCCATTGTCCCAGGCATTTAACCTGTTTCACAAAGTTAGCTCCTGTATGCTTCATGGTAAGTTTGGAGAGAATGCAACAAAAGATTTTAAAGGATCTGACACACCAAATACTTTGGTCTCTGTAGACATGATTCTTGATATCATCCAAATGGTAGTTTTCATACTCCAAAGACTATTTTCTCATGATCTAAAGTACGAAAAGTTATAGTTCTAGCTGGTGCAACTGCGAAGAACTTTAAACATTCTCATTTACTGATTGCAGAAACATCGCATCCTAACGACTCAATACCTACTGTTCATATAGCTAAGAATTGCTTAGTCATTTCCAAAAAGCCAATCACATATTTTACTTCCATTGTCCTACTTATTCCTCATACATAGACTCAGCTTCAACAGACACAAATCAATGCTTCAAAAACTATTCTACGTATAAAACTCAATTACTGCTAATTATGGAGTAATTTGCTCCAGAATAAGAGGAAAAAGCCTATCAATTCTATGGACATGCCAAATAAATATGACTCAAGCACAAACAAAGAAAAATCACCCTTGCAAACTGGAATCATCAGATTTAGTTGTGTTTTCTGAATCTCATAACTACACATGTAACTTACACTGAATCAACAGCTAACATTCTACCAAGCTGATTTCTTGAGTTTCCAGGGTTGGACAGTTGCACACTTGTCACCGGCAAAAACCTGAGTCAATGAACAAATTGCCATCGTTCCCGGATAAGACAACTTGTCACTCTCTCTTAATAAGGACAACACAAGCCATAAAAGCGTACTACTATTCCAGACTCGAATTTGATACGGGAAGAGATAAAGAAGAAATGAAATAACCTGTTCATTTCTCCGCAAAATGTGAGAAATGAAAGCTTCCCGGAATCAGATATAACAACCAACAGATCCTTCCCCTTCATCTTCATAAGATTAAAAAAGAAATAACATTCAGAATGATGGACGTGTGCATTGTAATTTGCCAAAGAAATTTCATTCATGACATCCCAAAAAAATTCTGCCATGAAAGATAAGAAATAAGAAAATATCTCCAATAAGAAGGCTGTGTAAAAGTACATAAATAGATAGACCTGAATGTCATGTGCATCAAACTTCTCATTCCAGGGCATGATTGCAAGATCCTTAATTGTACCAAACACAGGCTGCTCGCAGATGGACTGCACAACCCCATCATCGCCAATGAATGCCAGCTCTATGGATGTCTCCTGTTATACCATATCCATGGATTACAATGAGAGGAGACAATATCATTATGAGTAAATAACTGCCTTCATTTGAAAACGCAACATGTGGAAGATATCAGGCGAAACGGGAAATGTCCAAATTAGACAAGGGGCACATTTGAAGCCGGATCCTATATTCTCAAAATTGGATAGACAGATTTTGTGACAGGTAATTTTAATAGAACCATAAAATAGTTTATCCTAGCTTGTTTTGCAAATCCAGCCTAACAACCTGCAGGCTCCATGAAACTAAAGAGCTGCATTTGCGCTTACCACCCACAACCAAGGAAGGAAATCCCCTGCTTGATTAGGCTGGTAACAATTCTGAAAGTAATGTAAGTTCCTTATTTTCCTACCAATTCAATTTCATTCATTACTTTTGAAAGGAATACTGAAAACATGTCAAAAGTACGGAAGGCCGGTATGCAAATAACTGTCAAGAATAAACCCAGAGAAATTAAATGCAAAAGTAGGATTCCAGGGACAGATGCAATACGTGGGAAAAAAAAAAGAATATCAGAACATGTATTCATATGGAAAACTCGAAATCCGCAGATTTAAAACAATCTGTATGCCAACTGACTTGCTTTTAGGGTTTCTCGTATGAATATCATGTATATACTTTACTGACAACATAATACATACAAGTCATATCATACTAGACATAAATTGCTTTTACAGAAGATAAGCACACAACCCATGTCAAGTAAATATTGTCTGCAGCAGCAATGAGACATGATGGATGGAGACCTCCGCTCCACCTGCGGAGCAATTCCTTCTATTGTCCCAACACTAAATCTTTCCTGAAAGATAGTCAGTTTATCACTGGACAACACACTGAGTTAGTACACTACAGTGCCTTGTTCAGTTCCATTTCCGAACTCTTCGTGAACCAACCAAACAAATTGCAAGAACAAGTAGCGAAAGAGAGTGACATTCAAGCAATCTCCAAACAAATACTACCTCCACATCGTGGACCCTTACAGGCTACAGCGTTACCCTTGAAATTTCCACAGAACAACTTATTTATATAGCAGATGCTTCAAAGTGGATAAGCATCAAACATGTCTAGAATAAAGAGCTGCAATTTATGAACCTAGCCAGTCCAGTGTATTGTCGATGCACAAAATCGAACCGAATTATACAAGCTACTTCACGCGAATCGAACATAACTTCACGTACTCTCGATCCAACTCCGAAACACCAAAATCCCGCAGCTCAATTTCATTCGCAAGGCGCATTTGTAAAATGGCACGTACGTGCTAATAATGAAGCCGCGCGCCACGCAGAGAGAGAGAGAGAGAGAGAGAGAGAGAGAGAGAGAGAGAGAGAGAGAGAGAGATGGAGGTAGGGTAGGGGGGCGGCAAAAAGAAGGAACCTTGCCGAAAACGACGTCCCGAGAGGAGGGCGAGCGGAGGTGGCCGCGGGCCACCTGAAGGACGGCGCTCCCGCGGACGACGCACTTGGCCAGGTAGTGCGTGTCGCGCGGCGCCGTCGACGCGGATGCCCCGGACCTCGCCGTCGAGCACTCTTCCTCCGACACCGCCATCTTCCGACGACCCCAAGGAATCCAATCAATCGATCGAGAACTCCGGCGACCCGGAAGGCTAGGGCTAGTCTCGCTCCCTCCTCCTCCTTCTGCCGCTGCTTCTTCTTCTTCTTCTGCTTCTGCTGCTGCTTCACCCTTCGGCGGCGACGGAAGGGGGGCTCGGTCAATCGAAGCGGTTCCTTGCCGGCTTCCGGTTCCGGAGAGAGAGAGGCCGGAGAACAACGATGGCGAGCGAAGGAGGTTTCGATTTGATCTCGAGGGCGAGGCGAAGGTGGAGAAGGGAAGCACGGCTTTCGTTACCGCTGCGGGATTTGATGGACGGATGGACGGATGGATGCGATCGGTGAATGTGAAAGCGAAGTTTTGCGCTTTGGGGTTTGGTTTTGCGCTGACGCAGCTGAGAACGTGGAGCAGTGGAAGGAAAATTGTCCCCAAAAAAAAACCACATATTTATTGCACTTTTACTAATTCAGTCCTTAAAAACTTTCGATTTTTTTAATTGAACCCTAAATATTTTCGCGTTTTGCCAATTGACTCCTAAATTGTTTCATGTGCGCGTGACGAATTCGAAGGTGTCAATGATGTTGAATTAACCGCGATGCACTTGTTTGAGCATGTTGAAAAACCATATATCTCTCCGTGTTTTCATCGAGAATTGTTTGCAGAGGAAGAGATGTCAAAGAGACTTCTTACTTCCCGAATAGATCTCACTCCGTTTATCAAGAATGCGCGAGAAAAGTACTTCGAATTGTTGATTCGTCGCGAGAGATGGCTTAGAAGACGAGTTCTCGTTCTGCATCGATGTCGCCAATCACCTCACACCTTGGGTCTCGCCCATTACCACTCTATAATAGCTCATTGAGCCGTAGGCCGAGTCTTGTTTGAGCATCTCAGATTTATCGAGCTTTTGCCAATTGCTCGTTTGGCAAATTCGCCTTACATGAATTTATTGTCGACAATGTAATAAATTTGAGTACCATCATGGTTGGGAAGAATTTTTTTTATAAAATCGTATTATGTGAAATTTTGCTAAGCTTTTCCCTTCAATTTTCTACCACTTTCCTTCAAATTTCTTACTCATTTAGAACGACAAAATCTTAGCCATGCATCTAATACATAACTGAAATTTTTTTTTGTCTCACTTCTTACGAATTTTGTAATGACCCCCACGTAAAGGAAAGAAAGGCTAATATACAACGCTACGTATTTAATTTGACTAATTCTTCTCTTTTATCGCTATATCAAGTAATCATCTACTTTCATTTTCCGTAAGTGATTATTCGATTTTGAGAAAATTTCAAAGAAAAGCTTGGAGCACCTTTATTTTCTCAAAAGAAGGTCCAAAGTGGATCTTGTTTCAAATAAGGATATGAAATAGCAATATCTGTCTCAAAGAGGAGTCTAACCTTGCCAGCTAGCCAAATCTTCTTACTAATTAAGAGCATTTTCATTCAAATATAATTTTTTTAAAGTTTTAGTTCCTTTTCTTCGCCCTCAACCATCGCCTTTTCCGTAGCCGATCTCCTATGCTAGAGGCCCACTCAATTGCTCCTCTCGATTCACGGTGCTCTATCTCTCTCTTTGAATCGGGTAATCTCTCTTTGAATCGCCCTCCCCTAGTGGCTTGCAAGCTCCAGTATCCCTCACCAGCTACAGAAAAAAAAAAAGAGAAAAAGAAGGAAAAGAGAAGAGCGACAAAGAAGATGATGAACATGGAAGAAAAAGGAAGAAAAATTTAAAAAAAGTTTGGACGAAAATGCCACTGACCAGCCGAAGTTTTGGCCGGCCACATGAAGTTGGACCTTTCTTTAAGATTGATATGCCCACTTCAAACATTTATTTGAAATGAGGTTCATTTTAGACCTTTTTTGAAAAAAATGATGGCATTCCAAAACTTTATTCAGAATTTCCCTTCAATTTTTCCCGTGTGCCCGCAGACTAGTAAATATAAATTGAAATTATAACGACATAAATGGAATCTACTGCTATGTCTCTCTCAGGGCCCGTTTGGTTCGGTTTTTCAAATGCAACTTGGGGGAATGCAAATACCTTTAGGTGAAAGCCACTTGGAGAAATGCAAGTGGTGTTTGGTAAAAAACATTTTGTGAAGCTACTTTGGCCTAAGTAGCGTTTGGTAAATTTTTTTTTGCAAAGGGCTTTGGCAATTTTTATTCTTAATATTCCGGTTTTGCCCATATTACTGTTCATCTTCTTGGCTGGCGAGGGTGGCTGGCGAAGGGCCAGCGAGGGGCTGGCGAGGCTAGGCGACGGCCGCCTGGGGTTGGGCGACCGCCCAGGCGTTGTCGCCTGGGTTGGCGATCGGTTGGAGTCGCGCGACCCCGCCTGGGTTGCGCGACCTCAGGCGACCGCCGTCTGGGTCACCCGACCTCAGGCGACCGCCGACCTAGGCGACAGCGCCTGGCGGTCGCCCAACCCCAAGTGACCTCGCCAGCCCATCGCCGGCCAAATCCGCCGTCGCCGGCCAGATCCGCCCTCGTCAGCCCTTCGCCGGCCACCCTTGCCGGCCACCCTCAAGGTGAAGAAGATGAACAGTAACAGGGCAAAACCGGAAAATTGAAATTTGAGTGAGGGTAATTTGGAAAGGGAAAAATAGGCTTCAGCATTTGTGGAATGCCGAAAGCCCAAAGCTGGTCCGGACCAGCTTTGGGCTTTCGGCATTCCAACGGCATTCTAAATGCTGGCTTTCGACTTTCCGGACTCGGAAAGCCGAACCAAATGGTTCAGCATTTTGGGAAGGGGCTTTCGAGGCCGAAAGCCCCTTCCCAAAGCCGAACCAAACGGGGCCTCAATCCTTTAACTTTGAACGGTGGATGACAAAAGCAAATTATACATGAATTATTTAAGTAGGATATTCATTTCAAACCAGGATATAATAATTCGCCATCATCAAATAACGATGGACGTTTTAACGCCCTAATTTCTTTTTTCCTTTTCTACAGTCGATGAATCAAAGGATGGACGTGTAGACTTATCCATTTGTAAAAATCCAACTCAATACGTAATAACCCACGTCAAATAACATCTGATTAGTCATTTGAGTAATTGAATGATTCCATTGAACATTTACCAATAATTTAGAGACAGCATCGAACAAAAATCAAAAGTTCGGGAACGACATCGCACTTTGGGCCAAAGTTTCGTGGATGGATTGGGTCGATTTTTCCTAAATTGGAATACGTTTGATTCTTTTCTTTGGGTTGACAATGTAGCTTTGTGTTTTTTGAGATAAACGCATTGCAAGTCCTAAAATTTATCTCAAAAGTATAATTGAGTCCTAAAACTTTCAAAAAGTGCAATGAAGTCCTAAAACTTATCATGAAAGTATAATTAAGTCCTAAAACTTTCAAATAGTGCAATCGATTCCTAAAACTTATTGCGAAAGTGCAATTGAGTTCTAAAACTTTAAAAAAATGCAATCAAAAGAAGATTTTAATTAGACTAACTTGACAAGTTTTAGGATTCGATTGCACTTTTTGAAAATTTTAGGACTCAATTGTACTTTGTGATAAATTTTAGGATTTAATTACACTTTGAAAATTTTAAGATTCAATTACACTTTGATGATAAGTTTTAAGACTTTTAATGTACTTATCCCGTGTTTTTTTTTGTTTTTGTCATTTCTAATATCCAACACAACAGTTATTACGCACGCTTCTCCTTCAATCATCGCCATCGCCGATCCCGACCGAAAAGCATCAGATTGAATCGCTCTCTCCACACAACCCCAACAATGGCTTGACGGACCCCCGACCCGACCCGACCCGACCCGACCATGTCCCGGCGGAACCACACCACCGACCTCGGCTGCGTCGCCTGCGACGACCTCAGCGAGCTCGGCGCCGGCAAGGAGGGCTGGCTCGCCGACAACCCCAGCCTCCTCTGCGCGCTCGACACCCACGCCCTCGCCCTCGCCGACCGGTCCACCGTCCTCGTCATCGCCTGGTCCGATCCCGACTCCCCCCGGCTCAAGATCCGGCCCGAGCTCTCCCCGATCCACGCCGAGTCCGTCACCGCCGTCGAGTGGCTGGTCTTCGACGAGATCCGCGTCGTCGCCGTCGGCACCTCCCGCGGCCACCTCCTGATCTACTCGCTGAACGGCGATTTGATTCACAAGCAGGTAACCTCGCCCGGATGCGTCCGTCGGCCCCTTCTCTCTGCTGAGATGTTGGGAGGGTACGATCGATAGGAACTGTTTGGCTTCTGTAGGTATTGATTAGAGTGCATCATCTATGTTTTTGGGGACCAATTTTCTGTGAATTGATGAAATCTTTAAGCTTTTGTGACTCGCGTTGTTCGGTTTGGCGGATTTTTCATGTTTCATTGATTTATAGTGATCTGCTCAATTTTTGGACGTAGAGAGACCGGCAGATTGTTAATTCTGAGTTCTTATTCGGCATGTTATTCGCAGCCCGTTGAATTTGAGCCTAGGTTCCACAGTTTCATCCACTTGGTGATGCAATACCAGGAAAATGTCTGTGTCATGGTTAAAAGTGATGAGACTCGAGATATGTGTTTGTTCTGTTAAGGCGATGGTTCATCGGAACTATCACCCCCTAGTTCTGCTATAGTACTTCTACTGCCTCACAATGTCAAAAGTTATTGGCAAATGATCTCGGTAACTTAGTGATCATTGGCAGAGTAGACATGGGCTAGTCTAGATTGACTTTTACTTTTTACCTTCCGCTACTGCTTCATTTTGAGATTCACGCACTTTGGCTTTGTTTTTAATCTTAGACACCTTCGCAATATAAATGCCGACACGTAAATTAACATATAAGCTTTTCATATATATATTTTTTAAATTTGATAATACTTTAGTTTTGGCGGAAAGTAAAATAGTACTTTTGCTTTGGATAAGCCAAACAAAGAGGGCTGTAATCTTTTAAGTCTTGCTACAGCAGCATGATACTCGGATGGGAGAACCATCTTGAATCTGTGATGATTCTACAATGACCTGCTTTTGCACAAAGCGTATATATGATGGCGAGGCAGGCAGCAGAAGACATTCTGCTGTAGCTTTTCGGAAATAAATGGAATCCCACTTCATTTAAAATTAGGCGATTCATCTTTCACTTCAAATCATGTTAGGGCTGACCAATACTTGCCTAATAGATGAAGATTACTTCTTTGGGTGCATTTACAGCCCCTGTGTCTTTCATGTCCTCCTGATTGTCAGCAAACTGTAAGGTTAATGATGATATGAATACCATTCCCCATGTCCTGCTGTTGTATCTGTAAGCATTCGGGTGAATCTGTTGATCATCTCTTTCTCAACTGTAAGTTGGCCCTCAATCTTTGAAATCATATCTTTATGTCGTCTAAGCTGGTATTGGTCATTCCAAGACATACCATCCAGCTATTTAGCTGTTGGAATGCCTATATTGGTGATTCAACTTGTAACAAGTCCCGGAGGATGGCACTATCGTGTGGTGCATTTGGAAAAAAAAAAAAAAAACGCCCAACACAAGATTGTTGGAGGGCTCAAAATCTTGGTTGCTTCATCTATTTGGTCTGGTTTTCTTGCTCGGATTCTGTATAGCCTTGCGATTCTTTTCTTTTGTTTGCTTGTTTTTATCTCACTCTGTCCTTATACATTTCTGATGCACTGGAACTTTTTATCCACTCCTTTATCATCTATCCAAAAATAATAATAATAAAATTGTTAGGGACCTCCGGAGATTCTGTTTGATTGTCACCTTTTTAGTCAGCAGCTATAATGGAAAATTTGCTGGCAATTAGCTCTTAACTACACCAAACAACTAATGAGGAACTCGAGGCAATTAGGAATCAGTATGTTCCTTTTCAGGCATTCTTTGAAAATCTCTTTAACCGTAGTTATTTCTTTTGACTGAGGATTGAAAATCTCTTTAACCCGAGGCAATTAGGAATCAGTATGTTCCTTCAGCCCTTTTGGCTTCTATGCCTTTCCTTTTTTGCTCAAAATCCTTATATTTACTGATGGAGCCTTTCATTTTAGTTTTTAAGTCAATGCTTTTCTACATGATAATAACAAAAGCCTCGTGGTTAACCTACCTTGTCCTTGGAGCCTCTAGTTATATTATCACAATATATGTTATCTGGTTGGTTCATTTGGCACCATTGTTTTGTGTGTTCCATTTTTTTCATCTCTTCCTCCTTTAGTCTTTAATTGGAAGAAATAATTAGCTTACTGATCAAATGGTTCTGTATGGAATGTCTACTGAGTGATATACGTAGAATTTTGAGGGAACATCCCTTTCCTTATCTGTGTTGGGGAACCACATTTGTCTATCTAGAGTAGGTTCCTTCATTTGAATGGGGATATTAACAATGTTGTGTGCAAGCATTATCTTATAACATGAATGCACGGCTGAATATATTTTCTCACAGATTATACATACTGCCCGGATATTAAGATTGAGAGTTCGGGGAACTAAGAAGGACCTGACGACAGATACTTGTGCAGAGGAGGTTTGTGCTATAATGCCAGGTGTTATCGCCCGTTTTGATGGATCTGATATACAGGTGAATCTTCCTACCGACTGATTGAAATGTTCATGTGAATTTCATGGAATGTTTTATGTCAAGCAATGAATTTATGACCTTTTCTTAACAAGGATTATGTTAAAGATCAATCATTTCTTTTATAGTTGGTATTTGTTAAAACTGTTGCAAAATAAGCTTGATTTGAAAATATAAAGATGATGTTCTAGTTGTTTTCATTTTTGTTTTTACTATTAATTTGAGGAAATAAATGCAAACAGCGGAATGTAGGTCCTAATTGACTGTTTAATTTTAACTATTAAATAAAGAAATTTTTTATATTTAGAAAAATTGTAATAATCTAAGTGAAATCTTCCTGTGATGAAGAGCAATTGAAAGTTCTTATTTTCGTCTTTAGAACCAGTGTTAAAGCAAATTTTCAAGTACCCCTTCCCAAAAAAAAAAAAAGACCAGAAATTTTCTAGTAGAACTTTCAAATGAGCACTAAAATTTCCTAGATTCCTTCGATACTTCACTATTCAGTTCCTTAAGCTCTTAATCTGGACACCTCTTCACATCTTCCTTTTGCAATGTAGAGTATGCTGTATAGATGGTCTCAAGAAACAAAGTCTAAGTTTTGGGACGAAATGGAAAGACGGAAGTCTGGTCTTTCGGGAAGCACTTTTGAACAATTACCTTACCAGTTATGGAATGTCAACAAGTATGGTGCATGTGCTGATGCAGCAATCACTGGGATAATGCCCCCTCCTCTGATTGAAGTTCAGGTAAGCCACATTCACTGCTTTTCCTGTCTAATTTGCGAAAAAACATTTATTTTCCCATGTAATGGTTAAGTTGAGCTTGTGTTGTGTTTCTCCATATACCCAAATTTTTTTATCTCATAAAATACGGGAAGATTTCATTTTGCTATCTAGGTTAATAGGTCCCGCAGTTAGTTCTCCTTTTTTTTCCTGTTCTTCTGTCTACTTTTGGGAAGCTATCTGAAGTTATACTGATGTTTGAAGTCAGCTGCCTTTATTGTTAGGCAGTCAAGTCAACGTTATTACCGTGCAATTGCCATTGGTGAGGATGCCGTAATTTCAGCATTCAGGTTAGGGCTTGCATTCCGATGTCACTATATATTTTAGTATTTCTGGTCATTTGCTGTTTTTTGCCACTTTCCTCTATTTCTTTACCTTATTGATTCTGAATACCTATTTAAGTTTTATTTCATGTTTTTGAAGACTTTCAGAAGATAGAAATAGATCCATAGTTGGAGCAATTCTCTCAAAGGTTGTGCCTGCGACGTTTTCAACAATAGCTTCTTTCTCTAAGATGATATGGCGAAGTGATCAAGCATCAATGCAAAAATCAGAAGTGAAACCTCAATCGTTTGCCCGAGGTGATATTTTATTGTGTATATTTTGGTTATAATGATACCATAACTGTCATGATTTACTGTGAAAATAGTCACGAGTGTCGCTGAATCCTCAGCCAGTTTGTTTCCCTATTGTTTAAGTGCTAAGCATGCATCTCTATACACATCGATGTTTTACTGGCCCAGTTACCAGGGTCCTAGCTGTTCTGTATTGTTTAAGTACTAACAAGTGGGTGATTCTCAATTGCAGCTTCTCCATTGACATGTTTGAAGGATCATCCCAGGAAGGGTGAAAAACTCACATTATCGCCCAGTGGTACACTGGCTGCAATAACAGATTCACTTGGCCGTGTTTTACTCTTAGATACTCAGGCCCTGGTGGTAGTGCGTCTGTGGAAGGTTTCTCTTCAAATTTATTCCTATTATTTTATTAGTATGTTGTAGTATCTTTTGGCCCATCCTGATAAGGGGCTTCTGCTGCTATCCAGGGATACCGTGATGCTAGCTGTCTGTTCATGGAGATGCTAGTGGATAAGAGTTTGTCTTCAAGTTCCTCTCACTATGAAGCAACTAAAAGTGACTACTGCCTCTGCCTAGCTATTCATGCACCTAGAAAAGGAATCATTGAGGTGGACTCTCTCTCTCTCTCTTCTCTGTGTGGGACTCGCGTGCACACATGCATGTTTACACATAGGACACGTATTTTATTGTACTTATGAATCTAAACTTGTAAGTGGTAATAGCCTGTTCTTCATGACGGCTACTTGAACAAATCTTATTAGGATCATTCTTGTTAGTCTCATCATGACTCTGTTCAGCGGGATTGTGTTGCTTTGGCCATGTTTTCTTTTTCTTTTCGTTGAACAAGGAAAAGTACTGGATCTAGGACCAGTTTCCATCTGAGTCAATGGAATGCATCTGAGCCTATATTTGGTGTGCACTCAACCATTTGAGGATTCTAGATATTGTCAATACATATCATCACCATACTATATGCATCTACACATTTGCGATCATCATTTTGAACACATTTTGATTGAATTCCTTGTCATCTAGTTTGAGTGAACTCAAAATGTTTCGATTCATGATTCACACTATCTATCATCTTGTTCAGAATCTTCAGATACAGCTTGATAGTCCTTTCCATTGCATATGCCATTGATCGAAAACTTGATGCAGGTGTGGCAGATGAGAACCGGACCTCGCCTTCTGGCTATTTCATGCGCCAAAGGAAGCAAAATGCTGCAGCCCACTTACAGATTTGGAACGTCAGATTCCTCTCCGTACGTCCCATTGGAAGTTTTCCTGTTAAATGGTGATTCAGGTCAAATCTCAGTTATCAATAGATTTTCACAGCTAAAACTTTGATTTTAGCCGACAATTCTTGTTTCCTCTTAACTAAAGAAATGCATAATTGTATTCTCACTGCTTGTGTCTAGAAATATATCACTCCCGTTTTTTCTTTCCTTTTCTATATAAGTATTAGAAGTCAAATGAATAGTTGAAGAACTCCACTTGCCTGCGACCACTTCGCACGGTGGTCACACCCCTCGGGCGACCACTGTCGCCGTGTAGGTTTCCGGATCTGCCCCCTTCCATGTTTTGTGTGTGTGTGTGTGTTGCCGGAGTTGAGACCACCGTGACCCCCTTCGCAGTGGCTACCTCACCTCATGGACGAGATATCATTTTGCTCGTTATCTGTCGTGGTGATCTCACGCGACCACCGCAATAGAATCGAATTGACCACCACCACGGTGGTTGTTGCGGACAGGCGACCATGAGGGCGGTGGTCGCTGTTGAGTGGGCAGGATCACCGCGACGATGGTGGTAACCCGCCCCCGCCTATTTTTTTTAATATTTTTATAATACAAACTTTTTAACTCACATCAACAACAAATGTACTGATTAAAATTGCAACGTGTGTTTGCCGATTGCCACCTTGACTTTCCGATCGTCGACATAGCACTAATAGAAAGACGTTTCAAAACGTGCAAGGATCATTCTGAAAAAAATATAAATTGTAAGGACTGTTTTGAATTTCAGGCAAAAGTAAAGGACTACTAGTTCCATTTCACCTTTTCCCATTTTAATTGATTAACTAGATATAAGTCTAGAGAATTAGTGAGACAAACCTTACCGCTACAGGAAAAAGGTAAAGAAATATATAGAGTCCAAATCGCCAGTTCCATAAAGAGTACTCAACAATGGTTTTGGGTCGAATGCGATTGCTTTCACCTCGGGGTATCATGAGCCACAAGTTAGAATATAACGAGATACCGGCAGATCCGACGGGAATATACCCATCTGATCGCGCAAGACATATAATTCAGAAAACGAATTTAGCATAATCTGGTCAGCTGTCTACAAAATTTTGCTTCTCCTACATCACACATTTGTTGTTTCTCCTTATAGTCTTGGTTGTCAAGCAATCCCTACTCTTCCTCTGGATCTCCTCCTGTGCTTTGCTTGGCGATGCTGATGATGATCATGACAACGATGACGGTGCACTCGAATGTCGCATTCTCCACCCTGCGACTCTTTTCTCGCAGTGTTTTTTTTGAAAAACCGTTGAAACAAACCGCTTTTGCGTATCTTTCTCCCCTCCACACTTCTCGCTCTCTCTCTCTCTCTCTTGGATTTGCTTCTGTTTGGTCATCATCTGTCTTCTTCTTCTTCTTCTACCCCCTGGACTTGTTCCTTCTTCCTCACCTTCTCTTTCTCCCTCTCTAAACTTGACGTTGGAGCAGTCTCATGAATGGTGATTTAACTTTTGTCTCAAGTTAAGGTACAACCCCTCCTCCTCCTCTAGATTCAGGATTTCTTTTGTTTGGTGGCAACAAGGTTTGAGGAACAAAATTTCAAAATTCTTTTTTTTCTTACCGATGATTCGTGAAATACATAGGTTGTCGTAAGAGCGCTATTGGGTTTGCGCGAATCTAACCTCGTGCTTCCGGTTATGCATGTGACATGGCAAACAAAGCTTTCGCGATTTGGTGGAGATTAGTCTCGTGTTTGTTTAAGTTCATGTGCCTGGTTCATATTCAATTGATAGGAGAAAATGTCAGCTTTCTACATATGTATCTTGATGACGTCTTTTGGACGCAGTTGCGCCGCTGCCACTCTATCGTAAATGTGAGGGTGACCCCAGCAATCTATCGGGTTTCTACAGTTGAGATTCAGGATCCAATATGGTGAAATCGTACGCTTCAAGAAATATCGCATCTCCTATCTACAGCGGGAAAGAAATAGAGACGGCGCTTTGCTTCAGCTCGCCTTCGTTGGACAGGGAAAAGAAGGCGTTTCTCGGGTCGACGAGCTTGAGGTTGAGGTACAAAGAAGAGCACTCACGGGAATCGGATGGTTCACACGGCAAGCATTCGCGCCTTTTGTCGTCCGACCCTGCAAATTCGAGAAGCAAGGCTGCTGCGACGAAGTTGCAGACGGTCTATCGTAGTTTCCGGACAAGAAGACAGCTAGCTGATTGCGCAGTTCTCGTGGAACAGAGATGGTTGGTCTTGCTCCTTATATGCATTCTCTATCCATAGATTAATCCCTAAGAGAAACTGCAAATTAACTTGTGTTCTGTCTCACCTATATATTATAATTAGCATGGAGAGGTTTTGTGTCTATTTTCTTGAACTTTGGTCCTTCGCATGGAAGCTACATTTTCATCCTGATGGCATACTCTTTTGAAGGTGGAAATTGCTGGATTTCGCTGAACTAAAGAGGAGCTCCATATCTTTCTTCGACATTGAGAAACCCGAGACTGCCGTTTCACGTTGGTCCAGAGCAAGGACCAGGGCTGCTAAGGTACATGCATCCTAGATGATTTCGCTTACTTTCATCGGGATATCTGACATTACTCTATTGATTATAGTTCTCCTGTATTAGGTTGGAAAGGGCTCAGCCAAGGATGAAAAAGCTAGAAAACTCGCTTTGCAGCATTGGCTCGAGGCGGTGAGTCTCACTTTGCATGACCGATATAGCAAAGGAGATGCCACAGCATTTGTCTTACTTCATGTTCTTTTTTATGACAGATTGATCCCAGGCACAGATATGGCCATAATCTTCAGTTTTACTACGTCATGTGGCTCCGCTGCAGTAGCAAACAGCCCTTTTTCTACTGGTAAGTCGATGAACTAAGTTGAAGCAGATTAATTTAGTGCCTGCAAGAATATGACCGACAATACCAGGATGATTACTGGGAATTGCAGGCTTGACATAGGTGAAGGAAGAGAGGTCAACATGGATAGATGCCCTCGAGCAAGGCTTCACCAGCAGTGCATCAAGTATCTCGGACCGGTGAGGCTTTTTCCAGCACCATCCTTTTTCCGCGACCAATTATGGATTTTACAATCAGATTTGAATGCCTGGATTCGTTCAAGAAATACATTAGAACGTGTTCTACAAGAGATATATGTGCCACCACCACCTCCTATGTGTGTTCTAATCTTCTGCAGACTGAGAGGACGGCGTTCGAGGTCATAATAGAGAGCGGGAAGTTCTCCTACAAGCAAAGCGGCGAGATCCTTGACACAAGAGGAGGGCCCAGAGATACCAAGTGGATCTTTGTGCTTAGCACATCCAAGGACTTATATGTCGGGAAGAAGAGCAAGGGCACGTTTCAGCATTCGAGCTTTTTGGCTGGCGGAGCCACATTATCTGCCGGCAGGTTAGAGGTGGATGATGGTATCCTAAAGGTAACAATACATTCTTCATCATCTCGAAATCTGTTTTTTGAGAAACGGTTTGGTTCTACCACCGAGGACTTTGGATTTCATAGCGACAACCTTTTATTGTCTTAGGCGGTTTGGCCCCACAGCGGACATTATCTCCCGACCGAAGAAAACTTTGAGGCTTTGATTTCATACCTCAAGGAGAAGAATGTGGATCTTACCAATGTCAAGGTAAGAAAGATGAGCATGACAGGGTCCTATCTGAAGGTATTGGCATTTGACATGAACTCTTGCTTTGATGTCATGTTGGTACAACTTAAAGTGGAATTTGGAAGGGAACAAGGGAATTAGAAGTTCTATTTGCAAGTGACAAATTTCACCAATTCGTAAATCGAAAAGTTGTCTTGGAGCAAGTCTAGCTTCATAGTTTCTCATCTTATCGAGTTAAATTCTCAGTGGCTAATAGTGTTTGATCGGATGTTATAAGAGGCCTATAGCTCTTCCAATTTCTGATGCATATGCAGAAATGCCCTACCGAGGACGAAGAGGCAGACCTTGCTAGAAAAGGCAATTGCCTCACAAGCAATCCGTCCGAGGTTGACTTGGTTCAACTCCTGGAAGAATTGCATGGTGTGAAATCAGCTGACAAGGAAGCCAACTTACAGGTGCGCTGTGGTGATGCCATCAGTGACTCCGATCCTCAAACGACCACTTGGTCACGGCGAATAGGCTCAAGCATAACCAAGCTTGAAATACCGCAAAAGCTAAATGGGTTCCACGCCTTTGGAGAAGAAGCGCTTACGCAAGGACTGAGCCGTTGGACCCAGTTCATCGGTAGTCCTTCAGAGGACGGGTACGAAACCCCGGAAGAATCGTTCCTCGCTGAAGAGGACTTCATAACTCATAAACTGAACATGTTTGACGAGGAAGAGGCGGACGCGGAATGCCCGGTACCGAGGGAGAAGATCTTGCAAAGAATAGATTCGCACAAGGGGACGAGATCATATCAGCTGGGTCAGCAGTTGTCCTGCAAATGGACGACCGGGGCCGGCCCGCGCATCGGCTGCATGAGGGATTACCCCTCTGAGCTCCAATCCCATGTGTTGGAGCTCGCAAACTTGTCCCCGAGAGGATCGAGCACGCATGTCTCGCCATTCAGCTCGTCCCGATTTAGCCCGAAGGTGGTGACCCCGACGTCTCTGTGTAGAGAGGCCACGGCGAGCAGAAGCCGCTTTGTCCCGGAACGGGTTATGATGTCCCATACAGCCACGCCTTAGCGTATGTACACATATAGTGGATTCATTGGGATCAAGTAAAGGATGTGGAAGAGATTTCTTTCACCACTCTTGGCTTTTTTTTGTAGAGATTAACAGGGAAATGGAATCAGATCAGGAGACAGTTTTGCTTTGCTTTGTTTGAATTACTTTTGATAGAAAAACCCCTCTTCTTGTGGGGGGAAAGCTTGTTGGGAACAACTTTGGCAATGCCATTGTTGCTTATAGAATGAGATCCTTGGGAACTAGCACATGTTGCAGTGAATGGAAGATGGATGATTGCTGGTACTCATCTAGGCCATTGCCAATCATTCCAACCAAAATTCATCCAATCTAACCTAACCAAATTATCACTACCCACCAAAATAAATAAAAAAGGGATAAGTGCATTACAAGTCCTAAAACTTGTCACAAAAGTGCGTTTGAGTCCTAAAACTTGCAAAAAGTTCGTTTGAGTCCTAAAACTTGTCAAAATGGTTCGTTTGAGTCCTAAAGTTAACACCGTTAGATTTACTAACGGAAAATGCTGACGTGGCGCTGACGTGTCGTTTTTAATTATTTTTCTTGAGACACGTGGCGCCACGTCAGCAAAAATAAAAATAAAAATAGAAATAGAAAAAAAAAAAAAAAACCAAAAAAAGGAAAAAAAAAACAAAAAACAAAAAAAAAAACCGGCGGTGGCAAGATGGACCAGCCCGGTGGCCGCCGCCAGCCACGGAAGGACCGGCGAGGTCGCTGGGCCTTCCGAAGCCCAGCGACCTCGCGCCCCGGCGAGGGCCGGCGACCTCGCCGCCTCGGGCGAGCCGACGACCCGCTCGATCTGGGCGAGGGTCGCGCCTCCCGATCGAGGGTCGCCGCCCTCGCCGGACTCGGTCGGGCCGGCGGAGGTCGCCGGGCCGGGAAGAGTCCGGCGAGGCCGGCGACCTCGATCCGGGAGGCGCAAAAACCCGCCCCGGATCCGAGGTCCGGCCCTCGGGACTCGCCGGGCGGAGGTCGCCGGGCCGGGAAGGCCCGGCGACCCTCGTGGTCCTTCCGGGCTTGGCCACCGCGGTGGCCACCGCCGGTTCTTTTTTTTTTTTTTTTTTTTTCTTTTTTTGGTTTTTTTTGGTTTTTTTTCAGTTTTTTCTATTTCTATTTTTATTTTTATTTTTGCTGACGTGGCGCCACGTGTCTCAAGAAAAATAACTAAAAACGACACGTCAACGCCACGTCAGCATTTTCCGTTAGTAAATCTAACGGTGTTAACTTTAGGACTCAAACGAACCATTTTGACAAGTTTTAGGACTCAAACGAACTTTTTGCAAGTTTTAGGACTCAAACGCACTTTTGTGACAAGTTTTAGGACTTGTAGTGCACTTATCCCAATAAATAAAGTTAATCTCTATCTTACTATTAACATCTGCAACATCTGTGTTAAAAAAAAGCATAGGACATGACACTATGTTTGAATTGCTCTTAGTAGATCGGATTTAAAGGGGCGAACGCTCGCCGTCCATTGCATGGAAACATACGTATTGCGCTAAATACGACCGGAGATCGATACAGATCGATCATGGCACACGGCTAGGCTAAATATATGGGCACGGATGACCAAAATAACACATGACAGGGACCGAACAATCCCTGCACAAGGGCTGGGGAACCGCGCAAACCAGCGAAGACCAAGATGAGCAAAGCCATTCGCACAGCGCGTAACAAGGGTGCAAGCTACTTCGTACGAAAAGAGAATCATGGAAGGCCATTCATCATGCTGGAAGGCATTAAACAAGAGCATGAATAGCATGAAATAAGCAATGAACAAACAGCCAACGACTCGGCAAAGGATGGCTTGCGATCTCGGGGGGACAAAACCGGTTCTCGGTTTCTCGGGCTAGAGGAGCCGGTTCTTGATCTCGAACGACCGGTTTCGGGCGAACAAAAATAAACGCATGGCTCAGAAAATAAACGAAACAAAACCGATCATCAAAGCCAAGCCAAATGAACCGATAGACCGCAGTAAATAGCTTGCGTCGCTTGTTGGAGCGAGGCGAGCTAATATACTCGGTTTGAGACTCCGGTATTGTGCTTAAAGGAGAGGAAGAATTATCAAAAAAGTCATAAACCTGTTATAATTGTACCAATTCAATCATAAATATTTTTTTTTGCCAATTGTGTTCTAAACATTTTGTATTTATGTCAATTCAGTCTATCCAACCAATTATGACTGGAAATCGCCGAAGTGGACACCGACCGTCTTACATGACGCGACCGGCACTATATGAAAATGTTCAATGTAGTCCTTCCATTAAATCAAGTTCAGGGACTACATTGAACATGTACAAAAAGTCTACGGACCATATTAAACAAATTAAAAATTTAAGGACTATATTGATTAAATTAAAAGTTCATAGATTCAATTGCGCATTAAGTCAAAGTTCAAGGGCTGTTTGTCTTGTTATCTTTTTTACTTTTGACCTTGCGGAGTTTAAAGACCGACGCTATGGCAATTATACCCCTGAGCCGGGAAGCAAATTAGGGCTACCGGCAACTCAGGGTGGGGGTGGGCAATATGGTCATGTCACAGATACCACTTCCCTATAAATAGGATCCACGCTAGGGTTTCCATTCGCCCTCGCTGAAGATTTTGGGAAGAAGAAGCAGCTCAAGCATTCGGCCGCTCCCCCTCCTCGCCTCCCTCCTCGCTCCGATCTCCCAGGTTTCTTCCCGCTTCCTCTCTCTCTCGATCTCGTATTGTGCATCGGTCCTTCGCCGTCGTGTCCAAGCACGAGCTCCGGCGATGCGTTTCCGATGGGTTTTGCTCGGTGGCTTTTTGCCAGAATTGGACCGTCTCTGTATTTTGATTTTCCAACCCTAATGGTGCTGCTGCTAATCTCTTCTGATTGCTTTTACTCGCTTTGGAATATGAAACCCGATGCGCGATGGTTGTTCCCCTCGATGTGTTTGTGGCCTGTTCTTCGGTTGGATTTTGGACTTTAAGAGTTTGTTTTAAGTGGGGAAGGAAACGATGTTATCTGTTTGATGGGGAGCGTGCGGAGGATTTCGCGTGATATCGAATCTACCAGTTCTGTTTTTGAATCGAAGTTGTAGTGGACCGTATGTTGGAAAGTCTGGGTCGATGTGGTATCGAGTAAGTCCTACCGTAGTGTGTGGATTTTGCGCGGTGTAGTCGAGCTTGGATCAGCCGTGCTCTCTTTTTTTCTTTGCTGCGCCATTTGTGTTATTAGATTGTTGATGCTTGTTGCTCCTTATGGATGTGAGCAAGAGTATACATATGCACGGGCTAATGAATTAATAGTTTACGAGATATGCTGCGCTAGCAGAAGTAGCGCACGGTTTGTTAAAGACCTGGACTTTTTTCTCGCTGGTTGTGCGAATTGGGGGAGTTAAGTTGTGTTTGTGAATGGGAATTGAATGTGGGTTTTTCCAATGATGTGTGTGGTAGCTCTTCTGGATATCCATGTGTCGCTGGCAATTGATTTTTCAATGGTGGCGTGTTGTTTATGTGTGGTTCGTCTCCTTTGTGCAGAATGGATTCTCAGATTAAGCATGCTGTCGTGGTGAAAGTCATGGGCCGAACTGGGTCGAGAGGGCAGGTGACTCAGGTCAGAGTCAAGTTCTTGGACGACATGAACCGGTTCATCATGAGGAACGTGAAGGGACCGGTGAGGGAAGGAGATGTCCTCACCCTTCTGGAGTCCGAGAGAGAAGCAAGGAGGCTCCGTTGAGTGAATCATTTTTATGTTCTCCCCGAGTTTTTGGTACGACTATAGTGGGGTTTCTGTGCTGGTGGATTGAATGTGAGAGTGTTTTAACTTTATTTTCAGTTCACATTTTGGTCACTTTGTGTCAAAGATTTGAACTCGAGCATGAATGAATCGTAGGAAGCATCTCTACCTTTAATGATGCGTTATGGATCACCATTTTTTGGTGTCTTAAGATATGATGTCAATTTCAGCTTCTCCTTTGTGTTTCTGAGATGTTCCGTATGCGCCAGAATAATTGCCATTTCTTCTGAGGGATCGATTTGAGCCAAGGAGTTCTGATCAAATAGCTAATTGAACTCTAGGGTAACTTGTGGAGAGTTTGTTCTAAATGAGGTTTTTATCTGGTTTTGCCTTATCGATGTTGAGAAATTTTGAGATGTAGATAAAGGATAGGGATCCTGCTGGAATTGATGACTTTGGCTATTCTTGTTATTACACTTCATAGTCAAAACGTTGTCTACAGTGAGTTTCCCTAATTCGAACTCCTTAGTTGTTCCACCTTAATTAACACAAATTATATTAATGATACCAATTGTCCGAGTTTGAATCTGTATTTGTATACTCAATTGTCAAGAAATAATTCTGAAGAGAGATAACATTCTCTCAGTTTTCATAAGAATTGGATTGACCATGGAGTTAAAATCCAAGTCGGTTCCAATATACGTTCAAACAATCGCATCAAAACTAGTGGAGAGAAAATTAGTGGGGATCACTTTCAAAGACCGAGGTTCTAACATGGTTCTTATATGGAAACCTTTCTCACTTTGTAAACCAGCAACATGGAATAAGGACATAGCTGTCTATCAACAGCTTGACCAGGGGCGATGACGCGACCCAAGTGATGGTCGGTTTCAGAGACTCCGACACTAAGTGCATAAAGCCGAGATTTCCACTTTCCTCACCTTGAGATGAAAGCATCCTCGTCGCAATTACCAGCATCGCCTCGAGGACTTTGTTCTGATCTTTAAGCTGTCAAAAGAGCCAAACAAAATGTCGCTCTAAGCAACCATTAGAGAGTGTTAAGTTTGTTATGTGATGCGGAAAGTAGATGACATTTTGTTAGGCAGTTGTTTTTTTTGGTAAGGATTAGTTAGGCAGTTGTTTATTTCCATGAAAGTACAAAAAACTCGCGCCAAGACTTCAATTTCAAAATGTGTCGGTAACTCAATTCTCGGTCACCATATCAGACTTTCTCTCAATGTAAAATGGCGTAGAATCATCTCGTGGTCGAAGAAAAAGTGTAATATAAGCTGATGAGTGCAACCTATAGAGTCTCGACTAACCAGTTCGACAGCGGAGGTAAGCTCCTCCACGGCTTGTTGGAATGGAATATCAGTTGGTGCAGCAACCTCCCCCCAGTCAAATTCCAAGTCCTCAAGAAAATTAGGATCGAGTGCTCTTCCCTCCCATGTGAACAAATCCTGAAGCAACTTGACATCTTCAGCATCCATGCTCTCCCTTGACTACAAATGCGGAATGTGAGAGGGTGAAATAGAGTGATCAATTGATTTTTATGAAAAAGTAGTGTAAACCTTAACCTTCTCCATAACTTTGTCACGCGATTCATCTTCGGATGGGAAGGATGTTCCGAGTGTCTTCATATGTTTATCTCTGGTACAGTGGACACGCGGTGATGCTTTTATATGCTTTGCCCTGGACAAACGACAGAAATGGGAATAAGAAAGCACACGCAGCATCCACACACCCGCATGGCACACATCATCTGAGACAGGATACGTGGTTGAAGAATCAGAACTTAATACTCACGGTGTAATTTCTATAACTAGTAGATATTGCATTTATGCGTCTGTCTCAACTAGTTGAATGAAAAAGAAATCTTATCTACTCATAAATAGATTGCTTCCAGTAGATACACTTCGGAACTCATAAACGATTTTTTTCTTATTTTACTAATCTCCTCTGCATGCCTTTTACACAGATAGAGAAAGCTAGAACTTCCTGATTTTAAGACTTTTTTTCTTTTTCTTTGTATTCCTAAAGAACATGTCCATCAGAATAAGAACACACCCTGCCCTGCATGAGTTTGACTTCAAATTTTCATACCTGGCACCAAACCTGAGGGTTGATAGAGTTTCTGACACATTTGAAGGGCTGGGTGAACAACAACATAGTAATGCCATGTGAGAGTTCCCTCCCTGTGAGACGAACTTATGGTTTATGTTTTGAATACAAGCTAGTAGGATAATGGAAGGGCTATTGTGGGGCAGTCTCACAAGAGAATCTTGCAAAATCCGAGTAAGTTTGGAGTTGCGATACGGAATATAATTTCCTTTCACGTTTGGACCACATGTCAAGGCATGTACTACATTTCCAAGTGCTGACAGGGACTTATTGATGGTTTTAGCTTCTTCAAGAACCCTGCCCTCTGCTCCTGTTTTCTCAACTTTCTCAGAGCCAGCCAGGTCCACGAGAATCAGTTTTCCAAATGTTCTGGCCACACTCAAGACACGAAATTTTATGAGAAAGGAAAAAATTACCAAGAAATCGCAATCGCATAAGAGACCAACCATACCTAGTCTGTTTGGTTGATTCTTGGTGCACCGAGAATATGTAAATACAGTGGCTTCTGCTGCTGCCCACATTCATTTCTGTTTCAGCTTAAGTTTGAAACTGTATGCATAATTAGGGAAGGTTGCAGATATTTTAAAAGAAAATACTGATATGGCTATGCAAGATGAAGCACAAGTACAAGCCAAAACGGAAAAGAGAAAGGATACGGGTCTCTCCAACTGCTCTGTTGCATATACCACTCTGGAGTTCAGAGGATGGAACTAGAAGATCAACCCAGGGAAGATTGGAATACAGTCAAATAAAAAGGAGCTTGTATCTTACGGATAAGTTTTGTAATGCTTCAGCAATGTCTGATAGAGATATCTGGAGGGAAGGGAGAAAACATCAAGGGGGTCTCACAGAAAGAAAGCATAAGATGATATGTAAGTATAGGTGGTTTTAACTCAATAAGCCATCCAATTTTCTGTATACAAAAAAGGATAGGTGGATTTATGTTAGTCGATCAGCAAACCAATTTCTAGTTGTTCTACTTGTGGTATTGTCGGAAGACCATTTGAGTCTAAAGAGCAAAATAATATCTTATTCTCAAAAACATTTTGTGAATGTGTGTGAGGCGCATAAGCATCTTAAGATGCACGCTTCTTCAGGCCCACTGCACATAAAAAACCGGCGACTTAAAACGGCCTAACTACTCTCTGAATGTTATTTGGATTGAAAGCAGTTGCGTGAGCTGGAAAAATTCATCACCTCCGTAACTTCAGGCAATGATATTCCATGTGATTTAGTCTCTTTAATTTGTATGTTGTCCTTTGAAAGATCCAAAAGGTCCCTGGAAGAAGGAAAATAAATGATGTCCATGAGGTTTTCTTTATACACTTCCTGGGATTATTGGATGAGAGCCATTATCTCAACGTGAATGTCTTTAAATGCAGTCATGGTAATCTATACCTTACTTTCTCCATGTAGATCTCTACCTGAAAAAGTTGAAAAACGTTGAAAATAGAACATTACATCAACAATTAAGTGAAGCACCAGGTAGAAGCTTGTGTAGGCGCACCATGGACAATTTAATTGTATACTTGATTGAATCAGCAGAAGTGATTTCTCTGAAAATTCCATCAACCACTCTTGCAAGGAGACCTTTCTTGGCATCATCACATTCAAGGATGCTTGGTCCCTGATTCATAAATATTGTTACTGAACTGGTATATATCAATGGCCATCAACTAACTGCTATTTTTGGGGTGAACTGATCACCTCCATGCTATATGTCTTTCCAGCTCCAGTCTGCTCAAGAAAAAATAGAGTTTGTTGTTAGAAAACAGGAAATGATCAGTATAATTTATTTAACATATCGAGAAGATAAGTTACGTAAAGTATGATATATGCAGTTCTAGTTCTGCAACGACTTGAACCATGATTGTAACGTCTAGTTATAACAAGGACAGGGAATTCCTCTACGTGGAGATCCGACGCAAAATGTCAAACTGGAAAACTTTGAAAGAATTCCGAACCCAATTTCCTGGAATAGAACAAACAACATTGGGTAACTTCAGATCCATACACCCTTTTCAACTTGATCAAGCAAAAAGAGGTTGTTCGAGATATACTATGGCACTAATCATAGGATCACATCTACTCCATTCATTTGTCAAGCACCTATTAACATCCTCTCCTCCACATTTAAACATGCATGCATCTAATCACGCCACTCTACCTCATAACAGATCTACTTTGTTCGAGCAAAACATCAAGGTAAAGAGTTAAGGAATCAATTAGACAACAGAAACCACGCATCATTTGTCGCAGCATAGTGTCTCACCTGTCCATAGGTAATGATCGTCCCGTTTATTGCATTTACCACATCTGTTACATTTAAGAGCAACGCATAAAAACTAAAATATCAATACACCTGGAAGTAAACTCGATATGTGCATGCTGTGTACACCTACTAACAGAAGAAAGCAGTGGATTTGGATGAAAATAACCGATTTATCTCGATCATCAATCAAAGGACGAGAGAGCAGTGGATTCGCATGAAAATAGTTGATTAATCTCATGTACTGAAAAAGGATTAGGAAAATGCGCATGTCGACACAAGCACCTAATGCTGTGATCAATGATTCTCGCTCTGTAGAGATCATGTTAGACATCACAATGCAGCGGTGAAGCTAGATATACCTCGAACAATAGGACGAGCCAGAAACGAATAGACATCATCTTGCTTGGAGTCGTCGTAGAACACCTTATCGAAGCCGAACTTCAGCTCTCCTTCCTTTTCATCCTAACAACCATCGACATCGAGATCACCACAGCTTGATCGATCAAAACCGGCGCGATCTCAGCCAATAGGAGACGAGAGAGTTCACAAGATGTCACTCGAAAGTACAGATTCCACAACTCAGATGCAATCAACGAGAATAGCCTAATCAACCGCAACTACCGTCTCTTCCAGTACGCACACAACCTCATCGGACCGAACTTTCCCCGAGTATAACTGCAGAAGTAGGAAAGAGAGCTTCGTCGAAGCACCTTGAGATTGAAGGCCTCGTCGTCGATCCGCTCAATGCAGACGGAATCGTCACCATGATCGCGCCTCTCTCTCGAGCTCAGAGGCCTGAACCGCGCGCAGACGGTGATGTTGGCCATGCCCTCAGCAACACGCGCCGCCGTGGAGAAGGCCGGATCGAGCCGAGAAATTCGATGAGCGCCTGCGAAAACGCGGAGGAAATCCTGAAAGATCGAAGGCCAAAAAAGCGAGCGAGAAGAAGAAGGGAGGAATTTGAAATGTTTGGGTCAGAGCGTGAGGAGAGAGAAGCTCCTCCCCTTTTTATAGCGATGGAAAATGGAGGGAAAAAGAGGAAGTGCACAGGGGCAATTTTTTCTGATTTTTTTTTTTAAAGACACGACGACACTTTCTTTTCCAATCAAATATTGGAAATGGGAAAAAGATTATCTTAGATTCCAAAAACAAATTAAAAATATCGTTTCTTTTCAATCAAATCCAAATTTAGGATTATCTTAAGAATCATGAAACCGAGCGCGAACTCAACCCAGCATCTTACATGTATGTACATCTTTGGCAAACTACACATTAGGGGTGTAAAGAACCGCCCGCTTGACCGCCCGATCCAAACAAGAAATTTTCGTATTGGGTGGGGGGTCATTTATTGGTAGAAGGAAAATAAGCATCCCCTTTTTATAGCGATGGAAAATGGAGGGAAGTGCACAGGGGCAATTTTTTCGATTTTCTTTTATTTTTTTTAAAGACACGACGACACTTTCTTTTCCAATCAAATATTGGAAATGGGAAAAAATATTATCTTAGATTCCAAAAACAAATTAAAAATATCGTTTCTTTTCAATCAAATCCAAATTTAAGATTATCTTAAGAATCGTGGAACCGCGCGCGAACTCAGCCCAGCATCTTATATGTATGTACATCTCTGAAAAACTACACATCCTCTCAGGCTCAAGTCTGTGTAGCTTAAGTCTGTGTTCTTACCCTATCAAAAAAGTTTTATTAAGTAACGAAGACATCATTAATTGATTAAACTACTTTGGTTCATGGCAAATATTTTTTAGGATAAATTGTTCATTGCACGTTATGCTAGATGTCAGTAATGTCGAACACAAAAATAAGTAGCAAATAATGATTCCATGACATCACGTCAACACCTTACTTGAAATAATAAGCACCCCACGACGTACCGTCTCTCCACTCTATTACAATCAAGTCCTTTTTGCGGCGGTCAAAATCTAGGGATGAGTAGTTCCAAATTTCAGATTCCAGGTTCTGTACAAGTTTTACCTGGAACCTACCCATGTGACCAAATTCCTCATTTTTTAGAATTTAGAATCTATCATACATACCTTGAAACTTGGAACCTATCCTGTCACAGGTTTCATGGCCGATTTCAGGATCTACCCAGGTTCAACCTATATTATTAATTAAATGATTACAATAAATAATCACCTTTAATGGCCATTACTTGCTGCTACGATCCACTGACCACGACACAAAAAATATAAAACATTAACAAGTCATAAAATAAAAGCTCAGACTAGTGATTTCATATTATACACTCATCATTTAATGCCATGAAACATCGCAGGATTACGCGAAAACATAGACCAAAGGTTCCAGATTCCAGGTTCCACGTATCTAGAACCTAGAACTTACCCATTGTTACGCCGCGCTTTTTGGCACGCTAAGGAGGTACTTCCATTTGTCACGAATGAAGAAACTGTCCTCGAATGAGCTACTAGGGTCTGATACAGATATTTTTCTCAAACGTCCCACATACATCCTATCACTAGATAAACAGAGGCCTCTCCCAAACTATACTTCACGTGACATCGGGTTGTGTTTTTTATCATTATATTCAATATAAGTTTTTGATTTGGAGTCGCCACTGGTCATTATTGGTAGGTTGACTAGAAACTTAATCGGGGTACAGGAGAAATACCACGATTCTGCAAACTAGAGATTCTGAATGCGGAAACTTGATCACGCTAATAATCCCGAGTCGAGATCTTTAACGCCCTTTCGGTACTTAAAATGATATGATGTGTTTAACGTGTCGCACGAGTTTATGAGGTCTATCTACTAATTCTAACCATTCTAATCGTGGGAACTCAATCAATCAATATAAGCAGCACAATCAATTGTAATCAAACAAAACAATAATAATTTGGGTCTCTAAAATGAAAACCAGTTCAAAACACCCAAATCCTAGTAAAGCCCTAAAGGCTTATTTATTCGATGATGTGTGTTGTTTTAGGGTTTAGAGTTTTTTAGGGGTAAAAACCCATAAACTAAGGATTTTCTAAAAATGCCGTTTAGGCACCTCTAAAAATTCTAATTTCACTTGCAAAGGTTGGCCACAATGTTTTTGGGTCATTATGTGAATTTTTGAATTTTTTGATTTTTTGATTTTTATTTTTTGAAAATCTATTTTTCTGAGACTTTTTTTTTTTTTGTTTTTCAAAATTTTAAGATTTTTTTATGGATTTTCTAGAATTTTCAAATTTTTATCAATTTTCTGAAATTTTTATGATTTTTAATTTTTTTTTAGAAATTTTCTGAATTTTCTATTTTTTTTTTATGAATTTTCCGATTTTTTAGGATTTTCTGAATTTTTTTTTGGTTTTTCCATTTTTTATTATTTTTTTAAATTTTCCCCCCAAGGGGTCGAACCGAGCCGAGCCGGTTCGGACTAGTCTAATCGAATCGGACCGGCCGATGCCGACGCTGGCCAGCGCCCCGGCGGGTATAACGCCAAAACGGCGCCGTTTCTAATGTTGTTCTCTTCGGCATTTCGCCGAACACTTGGTGGGCATTATTCTAGATTTAATCATTATCGAGACCGCTTGTTTAAGCTCACCGTTGGTGAGCCTCCGAAGACCCTTTTACCATTTTGATTAGTTTTGTGTATAGTTTATGCCACCTCCTATCAGCCTCAATTTATTGATTCGCCGCCGGACCACCGCCGGCCAGCGAAAAACTGACCTAAAAACCTTAACCTAAAAAAAACTGATTAACTCTATTCTACAAGTATTCAACTCACTAGATTAATCGCCCTAATCGTCTAGATCGATCCAAATCATTATCAAAACATCAATCAAAGTGAGAAAACTACTAACTTGGGGGATCTATGGTCATAGGAGACGCTCCAGCGAAGATCGGGAACTCCGGTGAGGTACAACAATCATGGCTGACTCTGTTTAGCGAGGTTTTTCGACCAAAAATGCAATCAAATGATGGAAAACTTGATTAGAAATAAGTTCCAAACGTTAACAACCAAGAAAATTGGAAGATTTAGCATGATATAGCTCAAACATTCAACCTGGAATTCTGGAAAAACAGTATTGAAGTATGAACTTTACCTGCTTCGTTAAGGATCAAAATGATTTTCCTGGGCTAATCGGCGCCTATAGAGCTGTTCGTTGACACTTGAACTTCAAGATAATAGCTTCGGTTTGGCCGGGGAAGCTCTGAACACGCCGGCTGAGCTTAAGTTTTAGGCCTCGACAATCAGCGTCGTCTCTGGTTTACCGTTGAAGAAACTCATCGTCCGAACCGATTTGCCGGTGCTTTTCCGATCGTAAAAGCGTCGATCGCTCGGCCCTAAGAGTCTCTACTCACACCTCACGCTTGTTCTATCTCTTTTGCGCTCCTTCTCCCTCTCTCTTTCTCTTTGGAATTTTCTCGAGCAGTTTGTATACATTTGATAATGTTTCTTCAGTTTTTCTAGCTCAATTTTCCCACTCAAAATATCTTATCACCGACCTTCGAATCGGTTGTAACGGATCTCCGACGGCAGCTAGAGATTCTCCAGCTGGAATCGGAGTTTAACATGTGCTATATTGATCGGATTCAATCCGTGAAGTGGCGGGGCCGAAGATAGTTTCTGGGTTTTTATCATGTTCTGGGCAAGTCGGATAAGGAAGGAGATTGACCCAGGTCGGGTCGAGTTGACCAAGCCGACCCGGCAGGCCCGGGTTGGTCTAAATTCGTAAATTCGACCTAATTTTGACCCTATTTTCCGATTTTAACCCCAAAATTGGATTCCTCATCACATTTTACACCAAGTTATGAGATTTGCCCTAATTTTTGTCGCAATTAAATCCAAAATTCTTAAATTGTAAATTCGAATCATTAGGGTTTTTGTTCAATTTAACATCTAGATGATCTGATTTGGAAAAATTGATGCCAAAATTGGATTATCCATGATTGATTAACCCTAAAAATGATGGTCTCAAGGTTCGACAATTTCAAATTGATCATGATCCCCAATTTGGGCTAAAAATCCATAATTTTCGATTGAATTTTGGGGCTTTTCGATTTCTTTAATAAATTGTGCAATTGGACTGATCATTATGTAATTCAAGGTTCCAGAATCATTTGTTGTGAAGACACTATGGCCTAGAAATGACTTAATTGAATTTTTGATTCATTTGGGCTTGTTTTTACCCAATTTTGGGAAAAGCACATTCACAATTGAAATTTTATAAAATTGATGCTGTATTAATGAAATTGGATTTAAAAGAAAACTAATGGCTATTTTTATGGAATTTTTGGACTCCGTTTGCTATTTTTCTTGATTTTCTCTATTATTTTGACTAAAAGAAATTAAGAAAAAATTCAGGAAAATTCTAATTTTTTTTTTTGGTTTAGTATAGGTTCCTAAGCTTGGCCAAGGTTTCTAATCCTAATTTTGTGATTTTTTGGATAGATTTGAAAAATGAGCTAAAAATCAGGTGTCAACAACCATCAAAATAGGTTTCACAATATTTGAAACCTGAAACCTACCCTGCATACCTTGAAACCTGAAATCTATAGATTCTCACTGATCAGGTTCTCAGGTTCTAAGTTTTATCTTGAAACTATGCTCATCCCTAGAATTACAGCTTCCTCAAGCAAATAAGTTTAGGACCGGTACGTCCAGAGGATTCCCAGCCACGAAACAGTTTGGTCCTCCCAGCCCTTAACCCTTTTTCAGCTTCATGTTCCATTAACTTTTTGATGTTGGCCTTATACAACTGTAGCTCTTGTCTTTTGGTTGTATAATGAGACAGGGACCTCAAGTCAAGTCAATTTTGATCCTTGACCTGGCCAACACCGATGACAGCGAAATACTTTTCTGAACGGGTATATTAGAATTTATTTATAAAGAAGTGACGTATTAGAGGACATTCAAATAAATGATTAATTTTAATATGTAATAAAAACCCG